TGGGCTGTAGAAGGTTCACGGATAAGTCTTGACTTTTTGTTGTATGACTTTGGCCAAGTCTGTTACCTCCCTAGACTTACGTATTTTTAACTGACTTTATTGGGGTGATATTGGTTAATAAAGTTATATAGGTTTCAGGTGTACAATTCTATAATATATTATCTGTAAACGTATTGTATTGTGTGTTCACCGCCCCAAGTCAAGTCTCCTTCCATCACCATTTATCCCCCGCCCCTGTACTCTCCCCTATCTCCCCCTATCTCCCTTTCCCTCTGGTAATCACCGTACTATGATCTGTCTATAAGTTTATTTGGGGGTTGTAATTTTGTTCTTAATCCCTTCACCGTTTTCACCCAGCCCCCAACCCTCTCCCCTCTGACAACTGTCAGTCTGTTCTCTGTATCTATAAGTCTATTTCTGTTTTATTCATTCGTTTATTTTGTTTATTAGATTCCACATATAAATAATATCATATAGTATTTGTCTTTCTCTGTCTGGCTTATTTCACTTAGCATAATACTCTCCAGGTCCATACTACACTACAGTCTATCTATAGATAAAATACAATTCCTGTCAAGATACAAATGGCATATTTCACAGAACTAGAACAAATATTCCAAAAATGTATATGAAACAAACAAATAAAAACACCTCAAATAGTCTCAGCAATATTGAGAAAGAGCAAAGTTGGAGGAATCATGCTACCTGATATTAAAATATACTACAAGGTCATAGACATCAAAACAGCATGGTACTGGCATAAAAACAGACTACATGGAACAGAATAGATCAATGGAACAGAATAGAGAGCTCAGAAATAAACCCATGCCTGACAAAGGAGGCAAGAACATACAGTGGGATAAAGATAGTCTATTCAATAAATAGTGTTGGGAAAATTGGTCAGATACCTGCAAAAAAAATGAAACTATACCACCAACTTACACCATACATAAGAATAAACTCAAAATGGATTAAAGCAGCGGTTCTCAACCTCGGGGTCGAGACCCCTTTGGCGGTCGAACGACCCTTTCACAGGGGTCGCCTAAATACATCCTGCATATCAGATATTTACATTATGATTCATAACAGTAGCAAAATTACAGTTATGAAGTAGCAACGAAAATAATTTTATGGTTGTGGGTCACCACAACATGAGGAACTGTATTAAAGGATTGCGGCATTAGGAAGGTTGAGAACCACTGGATTAAAGACTTAATATTAGACTCGAAACCGTAAAAGCCCTAGAAGAAAACATGAGCTGTAAAATCTCTGACATTTCTCATAGCAATATTTTTTCTGATATATCTCCTTGGGCAAGGGAAACAAAGAAAAAATGAGACTATATAAAACTAAAAAAATTCTGCACAGCAAAGTAAACCATCAACAAAGTGAAAAGACAGCCCACTGAATGGGAGAACATATTTACCAATGATACATCTGATAAGGGGTTAATATCCAAATTTATTTTAAAAAATTCATACAATGCAAAAGAAACAATCCAATTAAAACATGGCCAAAGGACCTGAATAAACACTTCTCCAAAGAGAACACACAGATGGCCAATAGATATATGAAAAGATGCTCAACCTCACTAAGCATCAGAAAAATGCAAATTAAAACCACAATGAGATATCACCTCAAATCTGTCAGAGTGGCTGCCATCAATAAATCAACAAACAAATGTTGGTGAGGATGTGAAGAAAAGGGAACCCTTGTGCACTGATGTGAGAGAGACATCTATTTGTTGCCTCCTGCACGCACCCGGACCAGGGTGAGGAATTGAGCCTGCAACTGAGGTACATACCTTCGACTAGAATCGAACCCAGGACCCTTCAGTCCTCAGGCTGACGCTCTAATCATTGAGCCAGATCACCTAGGGCCCCATTTACTTTATAGTCTTCTTTTAAACCAGTGGTTCTCAACCTTCCTAATGCCGCGACCCTTTAATGCAGTTCCTCATGTTGTGGTGAACCCTAACCATAAAATTATTTTTGTTGCTACTTCGTAACTGTAATTTTGCTACTGTTATGAGTCGTAATGTAAATATCTGATATGCAGGATGTATTTTCATTGTTACAAATTGAACATAATTAAAGCATAGTGATTAATCACAAAAAACAATATGTAATTATATATGTGTTTTCCGATGGTCTTAGGCGAACCCTGTGAGAGGGTCGTTCGAGCCTCAAAGGGGTCGCAACCCACAGGTTGAGAACCACTGTTTTAAACAACTAAGCCGTGGCAGAGACCCTCGAAGCCTCTTGTGGATCTCCTCCCCACGTACTCTACAGAGATCCTTGCCATCCTGAATTTTGGTTTTATCATTTTATCTGTTTTTATTCTTTTGCTGAGTGTGTGTAAGTCTAAAAAAATATGTAGTTTGTTCTTACTTTAAAAGTTGTATACAGATGGAGTCATACAGCACGAATCGTTCTGCAGCTGCTTCTCACTCAGCTTCAGGTTTCTGAGATTTAGTCCTCCTGATCCTTGCGGCTCCGGTCCCCACTTGCCCTGGTGGGGTGCTATACCACTCGATGTGAGGCTCCCAATGCTTATTACCCAGCCTCCTTGATGAGCATTGGGGTGGTTCCCAGTGTCTTGCTTTTCAAACAATGAATATTCTCATTTGACTGTCCTTTGCACATATGTTAAGTGTTCTTCTAGGTTGCCCTAACTAGTACATAGGTAACTAGTACATAGGATATAATCATAGGGGTCTTAGGATATGTACTAACTAGTTACTAGTACAATGTATACTGAATCTTTTAAAGTTACTTAGTTTCATTATAGAAGTAGAGCTACTCAATAAAAGAAATGATGAAAATATATAATCTTGGGGGGAAAATACTAGTCACTAACTTTTTCTGTGTGCTTCTTATTGTGCTTTACATTGTCTCAGTTGTTCCCCGCCTCCTGTTTTCTTGCTGGGGAAACAGGCTTATAGAGGTTACAGCACCTTGCCAGGTCTCTCCAATAAGTAATTGCTGAGCTGCAGCTGCAGTCCAGGGCTGTCTGCCTTCAAACTCTTGAATGCCACGCCAGCCACCTCACTCCATCACCCGTGATATTTGCTTTATGCAGAGCTAAAGGGGAGTCTTTGGAAATAGAGTCACAATCATATTTGCAATTTAGAAAGATCACTTTAGAAGTGCTAGCTCCCCATAGACACATTGCCTTACCCTCTGAGCCAACGCTCCCCCTGAATGGTGAAGCAGGAAGTGAAAAGCCCCTCCCCCACTGCGCCAAGGCTCCTGCCATTGGTCACCAGCCCTGCTTCATGCTCCTTCAGCTTCGCTTCCCCTCCAATCCTGTTTCCCCAAGGCACCCTGGAGGGGCTACTGTCACCACTTGGGAGCTCGGCAATATATTGGCCTGGCCCAGCGCGGTGGCCCCGCAGAAAGCCCTTGAAGACGCAGGGGAAGCCTGCGGACAAGTGGGGACCTCAGCCCGGAGGGGGAGAGACCTGGCGAGGCTGCTTTTGCAGGAACCATGTCTGTCTTCCAGGCTCCTGAGAGGAGCAGAATAGCTCCTGTCTTCACTTCCTTATCTTTCAAATGTAGATAAGAGCACCTGCCTCTTGGGACTGGTGGAAGGATTGAGTGAAATAATTAGTCATCAATTTAGATAACTTCGTGATATTTCCATGGCAGTGGTGGGCGGTTGTTAGTGCCGTTATTAAATCAATGGGGCCAGCTGTCCCTAGCCTTCGAGTGCTCCCAGACAGCCAGCCGCGCCCCCGCCCCCCCCTGCCCCCCCCCCCCCCCCCCCCCCCCCCCCCCCCCCCCCCCGCAATCCACCATCCACCCAGCAGGCTGTCCAGAGGCCTGTCTTCCTGCCCTGCCCTACAGCTCCTGCCTCCTCCTCAGGCTGGTATACCTCCAGCCCTTTGCTCACACTCTGTCCCCTTCTTGGACTTTTTTCTTCATCTTGTCCTCAATCCAGTGCCATCTTTTCCAGAAAGCTTCCTTGAGAGTCCCACCCCCACTTCTGGGCCTCTTCAGCCTAGTGGCTGTCACTGCCCTGCCTGCAACTGTCCTTCCTATAGACCAGCGGTTCTCAACCTGTGGGTCGCGACCCCTTTGGGGGTCAAACGACCCTTTCACAGGAGTCGCCTAAGACCATTGGAAAACACATATATAATTACATATTGTTTTTGTGATCAATCACTATGCTTTTTAATTATGTTCAATTTGTAACAATGAAATTGGGGGTCACCACAACATGAGGAACTATATTAAAGGGTCGTGGAATTAGGAAGGTTGAGAACCACTGCTATAGACCATGAGTTCCTGGGCCTGCTCTGTGTCCCTGGCCCTGGCCCAGAGCCAGAGATTAGTGGGTATTTGGGGGGTGGGGGGTAGGGGGGTTGAGGATGACAGGAGATCAGTCCCAGGGCCTCCCCAAAGCAGCTTCCCGTCCAGAGAGGTCAGCTCAGACCCAGCTCACTACAATGAAGTAGAAGAGGTGCTGGGAATATGTGCCTCTGTGTTGTCTGTCCATCTGTCTGTGCCTCTTTCTCTCCAGGCTGTTCCTTGGTAGGGGGTGAAGGTGGTGGCAGGGGGTGTTGCACAGCAATGGGAGGCAGGCTTGGCTATGGAATTGTGTAGAGATGCACCTAAGCCAGGACACAGACTTGCCTCCCTGGGCTGAGCTGGTGGGCACTGGCTCACGCAGAATCTCGGGTTAGAACCCATGTTTGGGCATGTGACCTTGGCCAGGTCACCTCTCCTCCGTGCCTCAGTCTCCTCACCTGCAGTGGGGAATAACCTCACTTCCCATGGCTTCGTGAGGGCTCAGGAGGGAGTGCCAGTTAAACACCGGGGGCCACTGTGCTCACTGCTCTCCACTGGGTCATCCAACTGAGATGGGTGGGCTGAACACCAAGCTAGGCCCTGGGCAAAAGGAAGACACTGTCCCCGCCTCATGAAGAGAGGGACAGGGGCCGCGTGGTGTGGGGCCATTTTGGTCTTTATCCTCAGAGTAACGAGAAGGCAGTGAAGGAGTTCAAGTATCGGCTGTTATGAGAGGGACAGATTAGAGGGAATAACACTTCCAACATTCTTCCTTAAAAAAAAAAAAAACCGAGAGGCTGGATGGCTTACAACAAACATCCTTTAACATACATTCCTGAGCTTCTACAGAAGTAACAGGAATCCTCTTGAGCCAACAAGAAAGAGGGAGCTCAAACCAGGCTGGTAAGTGAGACGAAGCCACACCACCTGGGGGTATTTACAAATTCCAGGAGCCCAGATCTCTGAGTTTTAACGGCCACTCAGGGATGGGAAAGAAGGCCCTGGGCCTGCCCACCCACAGAGCCAGGGGTTGGGACAGAGCTTCCGCCTCCACAGGAACTCGGGACCTTCAAAGGGTGGTGGCCTCCGCACATAGGGGCCTTGACCAGGAAAAATATCACCGCTGCAAAGGGAGACAGCTGTCCTGATGGGGACAGGAAGGTTCCCTAGAGGTTATAACTGTCGCCCTCACACAGAATTTGGGTTTGAGAGCACACTACCTTTGTGGTCCTGAAAATGTTAAGTTAAAAAAGTAACTGAAGTGGCCTCAGGGTGGTCGTGCCCCAGGGAACCTGGAGAAATGAATGAAAATCCTCCCTCGAGGAACATTTCCTCATCCCAGATACTCTCATCAAATAGGAAGGAGCTCACGGTAAAAATACAGAACACACAAGTCACTGTGAGCGACAGGCACCAGAAGCAAGAAACAGCCGAATTAGTTTCTCTGGGAGTCTGAGATACCAGAACTGACACACAGACTATAAATAAGTGTGCTTAAAATGTGTAAAGAAATCAAAGGTGGACTTGGAACAATAAAGCAGGGAAGAAGATACTGCCCACGATGGCCAAGCAGATTTGAAAAAGAACAAAGTGGAATTTCTGGAGATGAAAATTATAACCACTGAAATGAAAAACTCAGTAGACAGGATAAGTAGCAGATTAGACACATCTAAAGAGAATTCGGGAAATAGAAAAGCTAAAGAAATTACTCAGGCTCTAACAGAGAGAGTCAAAGAGGTAGAGTTAAGAGACATGAAATATAGAATAAAATGGTCTAACACAGAGAGAGAAGGGGTAGGAGGGGCGGGAGTGGAGGGGGAGTCTCCATCAGACGGGCCTGCACTGGAGCACACTGGGCACTGAGGGGAAGGGTTAAGAGTTGTTCAAAAGGGAGAACTGATAGGGCGTAGGGATGGAGTAGGTGAGAGAGGCCAGGGAGAGGGATCTGTGAAGGATGACTATCAGATTTCTGGCTTCAAGCCCTGGGTAGGGGGGTGTCATTAAAGACTGGGTAAGAACAGATGTGGGAGAACAAACAAGAGTTCAATTCTAAACAATTTGCCTGGGAAGATCTGCTGATGCATCACAGAGGGGGAGACATTAGAGCTGGGCCTTAAGGTATGTGTAGGAGTTCACCTGGTGGAGAAAGGACTTTCTCTTCTTAACTTTTTTTTGGGAAAAGGATCTCCTTTCAGCAAGATCGTCGAGGCCCATTCTAGAACCTTTGCTCACTCAAAAGAGACATCTTGAGAAGAGACATTTTCAAAATCTTCAGATAGGACTTTGGCATCTCTCATTTTCAAATGGGGAAGCTGAGGTCCAGAAAGGTCAGAGGTTTGTTCTCCTAGCCTAAGATTCTTCATTCATTCATTCACTTCATATTTATCAAAAACTCACTTTGTACCAAGATACCAGATGCTGGGGATACAGCAGTGAACAAAACAAAGATTCCTGCCCTCAGGAGGCTTATATTTTAGTGGAGACAGACTATAAACACAAAAAATAAGTTAAAAGTGTATGTCAGAAGATGGTAAGAGCTATAGAGAAGTGTAAGGGCTGGAATATGTTGGAGATGCCGCTGGGAAGGTGACCCTTGAGCAGTAAAGGCCCATGGCAGCTCCCACGTTCCGCCCACTGGAGCCCATTGTGACAGTGTCTCTGGGTTCTAGAGTGCAGGCCCAAGGGGGCAGGAGAAGGCCTGGAGAAGGAGGGAGAAAAGGACGGACGTGGAATTTAGTGGGTGGGCTGTGCCCCCCAGAGGGGGGTGCAGAAAGGCCCAATGGGTCAGAGGGGCCACAAAGATTCTCTTTACCCTCGTGATAGGTAAGATAAATATATTTCTGAGCTTTTCTGGCTCCCCTGTCCTCACTCCCCCAAACCTCTCCCCATTCTCAGATGTCACCACATTCTGCTCTCCTCCTACTTTAGGAACACTTAGAGGTGGGTCCAAATTGTCCTTGTGTCCCAGGGGCAGCCTGCAGGAGCTCATGACAGGTCTCCAAGGCCCACCAAGGAGCTCAAGCGGTCCCTGTAGGCTCTGTTCCAGCCAGGGGTGGGGTTGAAGTCCCCGTCTCACACCCCGTGTCTCTCTCATCAGGACGCCCGTGAACAGCCTCCATGAGGCCCTGGACCAGTGCATGACCGCCCTGGACCTCTTCCTCACCAACCAGTTCTCAGAAGCACTCAGCTACCTCAAGCCTCGGTGAGCCTTAAGCCCAGGCTGGGGTAGGAGGTGTGCGTGCACAGGCACTTGTGTGAGCCCATGTATGGGTGCAGGGATGGGGGTTATTGCGTCATGGAGGACCTGTGTTCTGCTGTGAGGGGATCCCCATGGAACTGAATGCCTTCAACCTCTGGGTCACCATGACCCCTGAGAGTCCCATAAAAATGGCTCAGGCTCCCCATTCCACAGCTGTGAGCAGCCAGGCCTCCCCAAGGTCACTGTGACTTCCTTCCCCCGTAGGTTCTTTCGGCCTCTTCTACTTCGATTTCTTGTTCCCACTGAATCCACTGGGGCTTTCTCTGCTGTCAGTTAACACAGCCCCTTTTTATCTTTCTCTAAAGTGCTAACGACTTGGGTTGCCTTTACTTAAGCCTTGTAGGGTAATAATAACAGTTAGTCATTACTTCTTCTAGCATTTACTGCCTTATTTCTGAATAATATGCTTATACTGCTCTGATTTTAAAATTTGTTCAGTTTTTCAAAAACTGAAATTGAGATAAAATTCAGGTACCATAAAATTCACTCTTTTGTTCCTTTTTACTTTTAAACATCATCTATTGGTAAATTTAGCTTTCATTTTTAAAAATCTGATTTATTGATTTCAAAAAGAAGCAGGGAAGGAGAGAGAGAAAGAGGGAAAAAACATTGATTTGTTGTTCCACTTATTTATGCATTCAGTGGTTGATTTTTGAATGTGCCCTGACCGGGGGATCGAACCCGCAACCTTGGTGTATGGGGACAACACTCACCACTGAGCTACCCAGCCAGGACAGAAGTTAGCTTGCTTATACCTCTGCCCCATCTCCCTTCCCCCATCCCCCTCTTACCATTCTATCACAGTATTTGGCTAGATCAGTAATAAATGTTTACATTACTATAACTGTGTAGTTAATGCTCCTCAGAGATTGTAAGGCTACATTTTCTTTCTAGAATTAATCAGTCTCTTTTTCGTTTGCCTAACTTACTGTACGTATTTCCTGAACTCTCTATAACCGCTCCCTCAGATCATGCTGTTAGGAGTTTTCCCCTAACTGTTCAGACATATCAGGCGAGCATTCAGTCTCTCCTTGTCCTGGAAACCTGCCTCCTGGAGGACAGACAGGTCTGCCGGCCGCCTCCCGCGGTCTCCCGGAACTCTCTTTGCTGCTTTCCTCTTTGCTCAATCCCAGCCTTTTCTCTCTTGTCTCTTCCCTCATTTTATCAGAGCATGTTCCTCCAGAAATTTCTTTTTCTTATTATTAAAAAAAAAATCCTCACCTGAGGATATATTTTTCATTTTTCTTTTTTAGAAAGAGTGAAAGGGAGGGAAGGAGAGAGGGGTGGAGGGAGGTATGTGCCCTTGCCCGGGAATCGAACCCTTGACCCTTTGGTGTGCCGGCTGGCGCTCTAACCACTGAACGCATTTAAGACTCCAGAGGCAGAGCCATTCTGTGGGATGAGGAGGAGGTCAAGGTGTGATCCAGGGGATGGGTGATTGGGCACCTGTTGCTGGTTCATTCAGCAAAACCTCATGAGCTCACCCATGTGCCCAGCAGCGTGCTGGGGTCCGGGGCTGCAATACTGAGCAAGGCCCGGGCTGTTCTCAGTGAAACAAGCCATAAGGGTGCCAGGATTTATACCTGGACCCCAACTCATGTGGGGAGGGGCTGGTCAGGAAGGCTTTCGGACTGGCCACATAATTTCTGGGGCTCATTGCAAGATGAAAATATGGGGTCCTTTGCTCAAAAATGATTAAGGATTTCAAGACAGCAATAGCAGAATGTGAAACCAAGCATGGGCCCCTCTAGGCATGAGGCCCAGGGTAACTCACAGATCACACCACGAAGCCAGCACTGGGTGGCCGCCTGGAGGAAGTGGCCTTTATGCTAAGACGGGCTGGATGAGAAGGAGTCAGCCAGGTGGAGAGGACATTTCTAGGCAGAGGGAACAGGTTGTACAAAGGCCTGGCAGTGACGGAGGGAGGGGCTAGTAGTATATTTGAGGAGCAGAGACACTTGGCCTGGGTGGAGTGAGGGAGCTGAAGCAGGTCCCAGAAGGGGGAGGGCTGGGTGATTGAAGGTGGACGAGGGGTATGAGTCCACTAGAACAGCGGTCACCAACCTTTCGGTCTGGGGACCACCAGTTAGCAACTGCTGCCCTAGAAGGTGCTTGGGCTGGAGAGGAGGGCAGTGAGGCGGGGTCTGAGAGGACCAGAGAGTGGGATGGGTGGGCTTTAAGGAGAATAAAGTAATAGAGAGGCTTGGAAGCAGGGGGGGCTACCCTGCCTTCCAGCCTGGAGCAGCCTTGCCCAGAGAGGTCCTCAGAGTGGGGCCTTAGCCTGGGACCCAGGTAGGAACGTGCCCAGGAAGGATCAGTGAGGGTGGGTCAGAGTCGGGAGGCCCAGATAATGGGGACAAGGCTGGCTGACAAGTAGCTGACAAGGCCCAGAGCCTTGGCTCCTGGCGGAGGAGGGAAGGGCTGGAGGCCACTGGGCTTAGCTGACCTCCAGGTGGCCAAGGAGCCCCTGGTTCCATCACCAGCTCTTTTGGGGGCTCTTCCGATGCCCGCCCCCTCTTGATAGCTGGTCCAAGCCCAGACGGTGAGACCCCTGGGGGGCATGATGCGCCATGGCTGGGTCCGGTTCAGAGCCCAAGGGCTGTTGCTCCCCGGGGTCTAGATGTTATATGTGCAAACAAGAACTTGGCGTGTCTGAAGTCAGGGAGGTTGTCATTCACTGTGTCCCAAATCCCAGTCCATACCTTCGTTGGGGAGCTTCTAGGTGGTGGGCTGGGAGGGGCCAGGAGCCTGAGGTGGCCTTGGGCCTCAGACTGGAAATTCCACTTTGCCTGCCAGCTGCCCAGGGGGCTGTTCTTCCTCCTGGGCCCAGCACCAGACAGGGCTCAGCAGGTGGGGCTGAGTGGGTGTGGCTGAGTGCCTGGCCTCAGGTGTGGGGAGGTTGGGGAGGGGGTATTAAGGGAGAGAGGAAGGGAAAGGCAGGGGCTTGAGAGTCAGAGACGCCTGGTGGCAGGGGTTTTCTGGGGAAGCATGGGTCTCTGTGCTAAAAGAAACCCCTCTTTAATAAGGAATAAGCTTTTATCCTGGGCAGGGACCCTTGACCCTGGCAGGACATGGAGGAACTCACATTTGTTGATCATCAGCGATATGGCCCTGGCCTGGGCATCCTCTTTAAGCCAACCAGAGTTCTGGAAGAGAAGGGTCATTGTATGCATTTTACAGAGGAGGAACTTGAGACTCAGAGTGGCTACAAGCCTCACCAGAACCTGACAGCTGGTAACTGGCAAAGGCCAGATTCCACCCTGTGTCTGAGGGACTCAGAAGCCTGAGTTCCGCCCCCACTGCAGGCCGTGGCCTCCTTTCCACAAGCCACTGCCCTCAGATTAAACAGTCCTAGCAAAGGTCTGGGAGGTGAGGACAGCTCCCAGGCTGGGGAGGCGTGGGGCCAGCCACTGGTTTCCTTCAAAGTCTTTTAACTCCCTCACCTGAAGGTGACCCAGAAGTAAAAGAGCAACTTAACTTACAGAGGCACTTTGTGAATGAGACTACCAGGAAAATGGGTAAAATCACGTGATGTTTCAATCGCGCAGTCTATAAACCTTAGTCATCGCTCTGCCCTGAAGTTCCCAGCATAGCCTGGCAGTGAGGAGTCTCCTAAGTAATTAATGAGGGGATGTAGGGAAGGGAGTGAAACCACTGCAGACCTACTGTGTGCCAGGTAAGGGTACTCCCCAGCCAGCCCACAAGGACCCGGGCAGACCAGCATGATTGTTCCCATTTTGCGGGAACATAAATCCAGGCCCAGACACGTTCTGACTTCCCCAGGTACAGAGGGACTGGCATTGTTCTCATTCCAACTTGCCTGCTGCTCTCTCCATGTTAGACTAAATGTTCCCCACCCCCCACCCCAGCCCCAGCACACCCTTTCTGTTGGGGAGGCTGGAGGGAAGGCTTCCTGCCTGAGGTGCACTGGTGCTGAGGACAGATGCATCCTCACAATCTCTGTCCCTGAGGTGCCTGCTCTGGGGAGGGAGCTGTGACTGCGGATACAAGCTCCGTTTGAGCCTCTGCACAGTTACAGACACGGGCTCCCTGAGTGGGGAGCCCTGGGTTCCAAGTGGCCTTGATGCTCAGGGAACAGGAGGGGAAGGGAAGGGTATTTCAAGTTGAGGGAACAGCATGTACGAAGACCTGGGAGGAGGGAGACTGTGGGATTTTCTTGAGGAGAGCATGTGGGGTTCAGTCTTGAAAGCGACCAGATCACAGGGCAGAAGCAGAAGTGACAGGACCACTGGGCTGGAGAGGTGGGCAGGGCCTGCATTGTGTAGAGCCTGGGACCCAAGTGTTATCTCTTGGAAGGTGGAAGCCTGGAGGGTTTAACCAGAGAGGCTTAGCCAGAGAGCAGTGTGATCTGAGGGTGGACTGGGAAAGGCAGGCAGTGGGGGGAGGAGGAGGTCCCTGGAACAAGCACGGGGGAAACCCAGGGGTGGGGCTGAGGATAGAAAAGATCCCGTGGAAAAGACTGGCTCTCTCTGCCTGCACCTGTGGGAGGAGAGGCAGAAGGTAGAGGTGGGCCCTGCCTGAGTGCTGGGAAGTGTGGCCTTAGGCCAATTTTGAGTCTTCACAGCAGCCTGTTGCTGTTCTCTCTACAGAACAGAAGGGAAACTGAGGCTCAGATTTGGAACGTCACTTATAGCCACTTTGCTGGGATCCCAGGTCTTCAGACCTTGGGCAAGTCTCTGCCCTCCCTGGACCTCTCTTCACCCCCAGGCAGAATGGGAGGGGGACGGTGGGCAGTTGGCACAGGGTGCTTTCATGTCCTTTCTCTCTGGCAGAACCAAGGAGAGCATGTACCACTCACTGACGTATGCCACCATCCTGGAGATGCAGGCCATGATGACCTTTGACCCTCAGGACATCCTACTTGCTGGCAACATGATGAAGGAGGCGCAGTTGCTGTGTCAGAGGTCGGGCCCTGGGGCAGACAGGGCTGAGGGGTCATGAGGCCCATCCTTCTGTCACCCTGGCCTATCCCAGTGCCTAAAATGCCATTATGAGTACTGCTGCTTTTGGCAAAGAGGCTGCGTCCCCAAGGCTAACAGCCGGCCCTGTCAGCACTGCCTCAGGAAACTTGTTATCTGAGCCACTCACTGGGCTCCCAGGGCCAGGCCTGATTAGGAGACACATTCTGGCTCTGTCATTAATAATTCTTTGACATTAGGTTGGTCCCTCTGGGGACTCGACTTTCCCATCTATAAAATGGGTACGATGACAGGGTTGTCATGGGGACTGAATGAAAATACCAGTCACAGGACCTGCTGTGTAATTGGTGTTCAGTATTGTTACTGCTTAAATTAATGAATCAATAGACCCTGAGTGTTTGTGCACAGGTGACTGTCATTCACTGGGCACACAATCATGCTTGCCCTAGGCCAGTGGCCAGCAAACTGCGGCTCAAGAGCCACATGTGGCTCTTTGGCCCCTTGAGTGTGGCTCTTCCACAAAATACCGACTTCTGCGCATGGGCCACGAAGTTTCATTCGCACTGTACGTGTGTGCCCGCACATGGTATTTTGTGGAAGAGCCACACTCAAGGGGCCAAAGAGCCGCATGTGGCTCGTGAGCTGCAGTTTGCCGAGCCGCAGTTTGCCAACTACTGCCCTAGGCTATGCCCTGTGCTGGGTGCTGGGGTGCTGGCCACCCAGCGAATCACCAGACCCCGGCCAGTTTGATGCTCACACTGCCTGGTGGGAAGACAGGCATACACAGTGGCATCCCCGTGTGATATAGGGAAGCTCAAGGGGTTCTGGGGGTTCAGCTGGAGGAGAGGGAAGGCTTCCTGGAGGAGGTGATGCCAGAGCTGGTTTGTGAAGGATGACTAGCAGCGGAGGAGGGAGGAGAGAGGGCTCCATGCAGAGGCAACAGCAGGGCCCGGTGTGAGAAATGAGAAAGCCCTGGATCTAGAGAAGTCGCCAGGAGTTCAGTGTGTGGGGTTCTAGGGGAGGGGCAGGAGCTCACCCGGGACCCTCACTCAGGTTCCCTGAATGATCAGAGGCTCCTTCTCCTCTTCAGGTACCGGAAGAAGTCCTCTGTAACAGATTCCTTCAGCAACCTTGTGCACCGCCCCACCATGGATCAGTTCACGGAAGGTGTGGCACCCAGATGTCTTCTCAGCCCTGCTGGCCCCGGCAGCCCAGCCCAGGCCCCGGGAGGGGCAGGAAGGGCGGGTACCCTCCCAGTCTCACTGAGGGGGCTGAGCTCTGGCCTGATGCCCGGACACACATGGGTTTTGAGGAGTGGCTCTCTGGTGAAGGGAGAGCAAATAAGACTCTCTTGCCTGCTGGCATCACCTGCCGAGGACCTGGAAGACAGCGCAAGCGCGTCTCTGTGCTTTGTTCCTCGGGCCAGGGTGGCTGAGCACTGTGTGTGCAGTTAGGTTCTCTGGTTTAGGTAGCAGTGATCTCGTCTGCCCCAGAGGGAATGTGGTTTTAGAAGGTGACACCCGGGACAAGGCAGCCGAAGGCAGTGGAAGATGGTCTGTGTGGCCAGAGCCACGTGGTGTCTTTGTGCCCCACGCGGCAGTCCTGGAGGTAGCAGCAGGCAACCATGAACAATTTGGGGCTCTTCAATATAGAGGCAAATGGTCTTCCCCACCTCGAGAGCCCTAGAAGGTTCCAGCAAGAAACAGTGCATGTGATGGTGCCATTCCCTCCTTCACACCTCCCGTGGCTCCCTGCTGCCCACAGGACCAAGTCTGTAATCCCCACCAGTGTTCAGGTCCCTCTGCAAGCCGCCTCTTCTTTCCCTGCCCCCCTCTCTCCCATCTCACCCCACTTCCACCTCCTGGGCCTCTGCCGTCCCCCAACATTGGGATGGTTTGGCTCTCCTGGGCCTCTTCCTTTCTCAACCCAAATGCCCTGTCTTCTGGAAAGCGTCCCTGGCCGTGAGGTCTCCTTCCCTTGCTCCCACAGCTTCTTTGTTCATCTCCTTGCACAGCCATAGTGGGGCTTGGAGGAAAGGAGAGCAGGCTGAGGGCCCTGTGCTGACATTCTGGGTGTTGGGTGGGGGAACCAGGTGGAAGACCAGGGGCAGGAAATGCAAGCAAAGAATTCAGACCAGCGTGGGCACTGCAGAACCTGACCTGGGTGATGGGGTGCAGGGCGCGGGAAGTGGCGGTGGGCGGGGGGAGGATTTGGCCCAAGCTTCCTGCCAGGAGTCCCAGGAGGCCACAGGGCTTTGGCTTTCTCCCCACAGAGGAAATCCACGCTGAGGTCTGCTACGCAGAATGCCTGCTGCAGAGAGCAGCCCTGACCTTCCTGCAGGTAGGAACCCCCTGCTGATACAAGCAGCCTGGGGACTTCAGAAGGTGGGCCACCATGTCAAAGGCAGAAGGGTCTACAGCAGCCATGATCAGTTCCCTTGGGGTTCAACAAGGACTGAGGCTCAGTCACCCCAGCACCCCCAGCCCTGGCCAGGCTCAGTGGCAGAGGTGTGGGCTCCATCCTCTACCAGGATGCGCTTCCGCCTCCCGACTGCTGTGTTCCCGTTGAGGGTCACGTGGGATGACAGGCGCAGGCACAGAGCCTGCTTTACAAGTTGACTTGATTCATTCAAAAAGCTGACTTGTAGCATCTTCTACAACGTACCAGACTTTGCGCGTTCATTACAGGCGTGTGGTTTTTACATTCCTTACACACACTGCATGTTTGTGCTTACAAACATGGACATATATCATTTAATCTTGATCTCGCAGACCTGCAAAGGGGAGGAGCCACTGTCCCAAGGTCACATGGTTAGCAAAGGGCAGAGCTGGGATTTGAACCCAGACCTGGCCGACTAGGAACCTGTGCTCCTTACCCACTATGGTAATTAGAGAACCGCCACCTCAGGATTTTACCAAAAAGTCTGGGTTATGATTGTCACATATAATCATCATGTAAACATATATATTAGGGTGGAAAAGCACATATAAATTTTATTGTTGGGGTGCTGTTTAATTTTCTTTGCTATTTTTTCTATCTTTTTGGACTTTTGATGATTAGAACTGGATTTAATCCTAATCCTTCATTAGGATCACTGTAATAATTGCACCAGGAATGTCCTTTTATTTTGTTTATTCTAGTATCACACATAATAAATAAATGCTTACGAATCCCCCCCACCCAACTGGAGAACACAATATTGCTAGCAAGTCTCTTCCCCTCTGGGCCCCTCCCACTCTATGCCCTGCCTCCCTCCTCAGGGGGGAAACACTAGCTAGAGTTTTATGTTAATCACTCCCCATTCTATTTTTAAAAAAATAGCCTTTTCACCTTCCAGTTCATGTCTGAACAGCATATTATGTTTCAGTTGGCGTCAAGCTTCGTAAGGCCTCAAGCTTTGCGGGACTTGCTTCCTTCACCCAATCCAGTGGCTGTGTGATGTTCTTTCTGTGAATACACCAGTTTGTTTATTCATTCTCCTGCCGGAGGGGATTTGGGTTGTTTCTGGTTCTTGGCCGCTATGAGCAGCGGGGCTGTAAACGTTCTCAAAGGCGACTTCCACATCCCACGTTCATCCATTTCTCCTGGGCGTACACCCAGGAGTGGAACTGCTGGGTGGGCTGTAGGTATTAGTGCTCTAAATTACAGATGTGATAAATACCAGCTTGTAAAAAACACAAACCACCCCAAAATGAGCGCCCCTCTTCCTTTTCCACATTCCTCCATGGAGAGGAGGCCCTGGGAACCATGGGGGACACGGGGGGTCTCCTCCAGGCCTTTCTCCCAGAACAGAGGGGGCATTTTGGAGGTCTTGTTTGGTAAGTAAGACCCCATCTCAAGTCCCAAGGGCCCGGAGCCCTGGTTTGGCTGACCTCTGACCCGCTCCCTCTAGGGCAGTGGTTCTCAACCTTCTGGCCCTTTAAATACAGCTCCTCATGTTGTGACCCAACCATAAAATTATTTTCGTTGCTACTTCATCACTGTAATGTTGCTACTGTTATGAATCGTAATGTAAATATCTGATATGCAGGATGGTCTTAGGCGACCCCTGTGAAAGGGTCGTGCGACCGCCAAAGGGGTCGTGACCCATAGGTTGAGAACCGCTTCTCGAGGGCCCCTCATAGAGCTGGACCTAGAGAGGGGAAGGCAGGGATCAGAGTCTTGTATGATCTTTCTCTGGCTACCCACCCGGGCCCAGCTCTTAGCATCTCTCCCTCCTGCAGGATGAGAACATGGTGAGCTTCATCAAGGGCGGCATCAAAGTTCGAAACAGCTACCAGACTTACAAGTGAGTGGGGCTGGCGGGGTCTGGGCACAGCATCTGCTACCCTGTGCCTCTCAGGCTGCTCTGTGGGAGGCGGAGGGCACTGGCTGGAGGCAGGACGCCTAGAATGCTGCGTGACCCTGGGCAGGTTTCTGCACCCTCAGGACCTCAGTCTTCTGGAATATTATTCCCCTGGTTTTCCTGGGTGTGTCTGTTGGTTCCCCTGACTGCTTACTCTGTGCCTGACCTTGAACTAGGCACTTAAAACACAGATTCAGAACAAACAGCTTGGTATGGTGGGGGCAGGAGGAAAGACAGTAATTTTGAGAATAGCAGCAGAACTTCTACACACCCAGATGCCCCTTTCCCCACAAAGCCTTCCTGACCTCTCCAGTCCACAGGGATGGTGCCCACATCCCCCCTAAGATGGAAGCAACCTCCCAAGAGCCAGGTCATTTCTGTGCCATCTCAGCGTTGGGCAAGGCAGAGGCCATGTTTATGGATGAAAGAATGAAGACTCAAAACAGAGCACTTTACCTAACATGGTATTACAAACATCTAGAATGCCCAAACCCAAAGAGCTCTGGAAGCTCGTTCCCCCACCCCCAAGTTTGGCGTTAAAAATCATTTTCCATGAAAAGTTTACTTGAATTGACTTGAGACTACTTATCATCTCTATTGCTCCCATTCAATGTGACCATTTCCCAGCAGAGAGTTGGAGTGTGACTGCAAGGTATTGCTGGGTGTAACACACCATGCGTACGTGGGCACCCCACCCGTGGGGGTCTGAGCTGGAATTGTGTGAGAGAAAGCGGACGAGCATTCTGGCTCCTCCAGCCTCCCCACCAGCTGCCAGCAGGATGTTTCCAAAGCACAAGCCTTGTCAGGTTACCCCATGCCAAGTTCCGAGGCTCCTCTCGCCTTAGAATAAGGTCCTGGGTCATGGCCAACCTCATTTCTATCTCACGGCCTTTGGACATGCTGTTCTCACTGCCAGGAACACTCTTTCTGTGCCAGGCTCATCCCTCCTCATCCCTTAGTTTTCAGCTCAAATGTCAGCTCCTTAGGGAAGCCCTCCCTGATGCCCAGACTGCGTCAAGCCCCAGGGTTCTCCTTTGAGGCCGTCCTTACTGTCACAGGTCCCCTGGGGGTCTGTCCCCCGAGTGGGAGACTTGGGAGGGCAGCAGCTTGGTGGCTCCCTGCTGCCCCTCAGTGCCTGGCGCAGAGAGGCCTCCGCCAGTGTCTGCTGATTAAAAGCCTTCTAGATGCTTAAAGCAGGGAAGAAGGCAGGCGCCCCTTGAGAGCCTCTGTGCTGTCCCAGGCCGGCTGTGATATGGGCTTTGCACAGTTGGTGGCTGGAGAAAGAGCTGGATTCTAACCAGGAGACTCCAGGAAGAGGGGGTGTTGGAGTTAGCCCAGTGGTTCTCAACTGGGGGTAATTCCCCCCCATGAGACATTTTGTTTGTCACAACTGGCATCTAGTGGGTGGAAACCAGGAATGCTGCTAAATAGCCTACGATGCATGGGACAGCTCCCTCACCCCCCCAAAAAGAATGATTCAGCCTAAAATGCCGGTAGTGCTGAGGTTGAGAAAGTGTTTTAGACAAAATGCAGAGCACAAGCAACCGCCTAGGTATTGGACAAGGCAGGTGCACTATGGCTGATATGGCTGACATTTAGGGGTGAGGAGTGTGATATTACGGAGGGAGAGGTGGTTGGAAATACCAGCTTCCTGGATTGCTGGAGCTGTTATAACTCTACTACCGAGAGTTCTGAGGTCAGCTGGGAATGGGGCATTGTTAGGCGCAGCTGGGGGAGACCCAGCCCCCAGTATGTGCTTTGCTTCACTCTGCAGGGAGCTGGACAGCCTCGTGCAGTCCTCACAATACTGCAAGGGGGAGAACCACAGGCACTTTGAAGGAGGCGTGAAGCTTGGTGTGGGTGCCTTCAACCTGGTGAGTGGGAGTGCCCCTGCCCATGTCCAGTGTCTGGGCTCAAAATTAATCTCCCCTGCACATCCCGCCGCACACATGGGCTTTGCTGGGCTCCTGGCTCTGTGCCAACGCTGGCCCCAGCGGTGAAGCTGCCCTTTGCAGCCTGGGGGGTGCCCAGCTTGGGTGGGGGTGGAGTGGGTGCTGGCACTGGCTCCAGAGTCCCTTTTGTGCATTTCTTCCCAGGTCAAGTTGAAAGCTTAAAATCTACTGTAGTGGCAGTATTTATAGCACCAGAAATGGACAAACAGTAAACCAGGGCCTTTTCAGCCCTGGAGGCTGGTGGTTAAACATGGACCAATGGCAGGGAAGGGGACAGGCCCGGAATCAGCTGATGACCCACAGGGACTGGAGAGCCAAACTCCTTCCTGGGGGAGCTGGGGAAGGTTTCATGGAGGGGGTAGTATTTGAGCTGGATCTTGATTCTTGAACCATCCATAGGTGGGGGAAGTTTTCTAGGCAGGGAAGGGCATCCTAGGCTGAAGGAACAGTAGGAGTTAGCAGGGAGGCTCAGAAAAGCCATGCCTGCACCTGGGAGCAGCGTGTGTGTGTGTGTGTGTGTGTGTGTGTGTATGAGTGATATGGGGTAGTGGGTAGGGGGTGGGAGCAGCTCTCTCCACTTCAGGCAAAGCCTGTTCTAAGAGCAGGCCTAGGGGCACGGGTCCCGGCCCCACTCTGAGTTCCAGTTTCCTCATATGTAAAATGGGAGCTGGGATCCTGGGCCAAGTGCTGAGAAACAGCTGCAAAGTGCAGTGGATGCTTTAGCAGGTGATAGCCGGGCCGTCCTGGCTTCAAGGACTGCCTCCAGCTCTGATGAGCTTTGGGGCCTTGGACAGGTCCTGTCACTTACCTGTGCCGCAGTTTCCCCATCTGTCAAAAGGGTCAGTGAGCCCTCTATGCTGGGCTGTTCTGAGGATCAAAGGCAGTGAGAGCCCCTGGTCCAAAGTAGGGGTTCAGTGTAGTAACGACAATAGCTGACTAACATGCGCAGGCCCCTTCTATGGGCTTTACATGGATTAATTTGATCCATCTGCACAGCACCCCCATGAGGTAAGGGCTATTATTATTCCCATTTTACAAATGAGAAACGGAGGCAGAGAGAGGATATGTAACTTGCCCAAGGTGACCCAGCTGGGAGTGGTGAGAATTTGGGTGCAGTCCGTTCCTGTCGACTGTCATGCTTCTCTGTCTGGGGAAGCTGGCTTTCCAGGAAACCTGGCATTGCAGACACAGGGCCTGCACCCCCAGGATTATCCCCAGGACTCTCGGGGTTTGGGGAGTGGGAAGGGCAGCTGCCCCTGCACGTGCCCACCTGCTTCTGTTCCTGCAGACGCTGTCCATGCTTCCTACTAGGATCCTGAGGCTGCTGGAGTTCGTGGGGTTTTCAGGAAACAAGGTAACTGCCTGCTTTCTGGGACCCTGGACCCCCTCAGCTCCAGGACTGGAACTCAGCTAGATGAGAGGCGGCTGAGGGGCTGTGGGGCCAAGGGGCCAGTTCTGCTCAGCTCCCCTGGGTATGGGTTCCCTAGACAAGGCCCAGACCTCTCTGGGCTTCAGTCTACTCTCCAGTCAAGTGGGGCCATGGGCCCTGCCTGGTCCCCTCACAGGGTGGAGGCTCTGGGGCTAGGGTGGCTGTGAAAGGCAGCTCTGTGCAGGGGCCTGGGACTTGTTTCCTGAGCCTGACAGGTGAAGAGCTAGAGCAAGTCCCTTCCTCTGGACTATCTTCTGGTCTGGGACATGCCCAAGAGAAGTCCTGTTATGCATCAGGCCTTGAGGGGGGAAACCAGACTCACTTTAGTGAGGGCAGGAACCTGAGTACCCAGGTAGCAGATCAAGGAGGGCTCCCTGGCGGAGGAGGCTTCGTCTGAGGGAAGGAGCTTAGCCTAGAAGGCATGCCCTTCTCCCTGTGACATTGAGCCTCTTTTCAGTAAAACAAGGACTTTTTTTTAAACCAGGTCAGTGCCCAACCTGGTTTGGCTCAGTGGATAGAGCATCAGCCTGCAAACTGAAGGGTTCTGGGTTCGATACTGGTCAAGGGCACATGCCCAGGTTGCAGGCTCGATCCCCAGTTGGGGGCATGCCAATCAATGATTCTCTCTCATCATTGAAGTTTCTCTCTCTCTTTCCCTCTCCCTTCCTCTCTGAAATCAATAAAAATATTAAAAAGTAAAAATAAAATAAAATAAATAAATAAACCAGGTCAGTGTTTCTCAAATTTGAACTTTTTCTAGCCCTTGCTGATTTTTGCCATGTGCACGGACCTCTATGTTATTAGTTACATATTATTTTTCTGAAAAATGGCTCATATGTTTTATTTAAATTTATTTAAAGTAAATATGCTACACAGAACACAATCATAACAGTAAATACTATGAGGACCAAACAGTCTTACGAAAACCCAGTCTCTGCCAAGGCCGTTCCCTCCGTGCGGAAGGGAGCTCAGAGCCAGAGCGATGTTGAACAGGCCCAGCATGGAGCCCAGGTGTTCTCCCGAGAAGGGAAGACCTCCCGTGGGACCCCCCGCTTCCTCAGGCCTGTCCGCGGACCTCGAAAATGGTCGCCACATGCGGTCCGTGCCCGGGCGGGAAAACACTGGTGGGAGGCTCTGAAAGTCCCTTTCAGTTTTGTTTTCTTAAAAAGGCCCTTGGGTCACAAGTAGGATTTCAGGATGATGCTGGGAGGGAAGAGCTTGAGAACCGCTGGCCAAAGTGCGCCGTGCAGCCTGCCTGCTCAGGAAGAGGTGGCGAGGCCAGAATGGAGGTGCCAGTGCAGGCTCTGTCTTTATCCTGGAAGTAGGGGAGCCATGGCGGGTGTGAGGCAGGGGAGGCGGCTTGTACACTAGCAGGCACAGGAACACTGGAGGACAGACTGAGGGGCAGAGTGCCGTCAGGGGTACGAGTGGGGTCTGGCTTCTGCTCCTCCCCAGCCAGGCTCTGGAGCCTCCTCCTCCAGGGAGCCTTCCCAGACCACAATCCTCATGGTCCCATCTGTGCCCTGGGCCTGCGGGTTAGGATTATCTGCCTCCTTGTCATGCCTCCTCCCCTTACCAGGCCTGGGGCTGCTCAGGGCCTCAGCACCGGCCACCAGCCAAACAGGTGAAAAAGGGGAAGAATGGGCGAGGGGCTGTGGAGGTGGCGACACCTACACCCGAGACTCTGCTGTGGCCTTGGCCGCAGTGTGTGCTGCCGCAGGAAGGTGGCTGAGGTTCGGAGAGGGACAGCCCCTTCCCAGGGTGGCACAGCCTGGGATAGCTGACCTGGCCTCCTGGGTATGCCACCCAGCCCCCAGCCTCAGCAGCACCTCCAGGCTCCTGTCCCTCCGTGGGTCCCAGGGTGGGCTTGGGGAGCCCAGGGCTGCTGGCTTCAACCTGGCCTCTTGTCTCCAGGACTATGGGCTGCTGCAGCTGGCGGAGGGCGCCTCGGGGCACAGTTTCCGCGCTGTGCTCTGCGTCATGCTGCTGCTGTGCTACCACACCTTCCTCACCTTCGTGCTTGGTAGGAGTGCCCTTGGGGCCAGTGAGGGCTCTGGGGTGTGGTTGGCTCTAAGGGCAGGGGTCAAGAGGGTGAGGGGTTAACACACCCTGACTGGGCCCCTGAGACTGGGGATGGGGCACTGAAACCACAAACAGCAGAGCCACCTCAACTGTCCTGGGGCCTGTTGACTGACTATTCACTTCCCCATAGTTTGAGTAGGTCCCAACCTCAGTTTTCTCATCTGTGAAATGGGGATGCCCATGCCCACCTTGTAGAGGGTGTGAGGACACTGTAGGCAGCTCCTTGAGGTTCTGGGCACAGCCTTAGTGGGCATGGACTCTTAGTTATTGAGCCCTGTGATATGCTAGAGGCGACATCTGCACTACCTTATTTAATCCTCCCATCACTCTAGAGATAGAAGAATATTATCCCCATTTCACAGAGGGGGGAACAGAGGCCTTGAGAAGCCCCTGGTGGGTTGCTGGGAGGATCACAGGAGCCCGTGGTGGTGGTGACATGTGTTGTACCCCCACCTCCTTCAGGCACCGGGAATGTCAACATCGAGGAGGCAGAGCAGCTCTTGAAGCCCTACCTGAAGCGATACCCTAAGGTGAGCTCCACCTCCTGCCAGACACCCCTGCCCACGTGTGCCGCATGGGCCCACACAGACCCACACATGTGTCTTTGCAGGGCGCCATCTTCCTGTTCTTTGCAGGGCGGATTGAAGCCATCAAAGGCAATGTTGACGCCGTGAGTAATGGGGTCTCCCAGGCCAGCAGGAAGTCAGACGCACAGAGATATACTCAGGGACAGGGCCGGCTGGCTGGGAGTGGGGCCCAGAGAGAACCGACAGCAGAGCAGGAGTGGGAGAGGCACTTCTGAGGCAGTCTGGGGAGAAGAGGGTTCTGACAGGGAGATTAGGACGCAGCGCTCCTGGAGAGGGAGGTGCTGGTGTAAGGCAGGGACATGGGAAGACCCACTTACTCAGGGTGTGGTGACAGGCTGGACCTGGTGAATGCCAGGGGGTGAGGGCTCCATAGAAGGGAGGGAGCCATCGGAGGGGCTGCAGAGGGGAGGACCACAGTCGTGGCAGAGACCCCAGCACTAAGCCAAGGCCCAGGATGGACTCCACAGTGTGGAGTCCTGGGATCTCCTGCTGCCCTGGCTGTGACTCCTCCGGCAGCAGGACAGATGCCCCAGATAGGAGCTACGGAAACCTTTGGAGTTGGCTCTGAGGCACAGATGCTATTACATTGCTTTAACGTTAACACTTTCCACTACCTGCTCCCCCTCTATGATAACTCTATCCTGTCCTTTCACTTTGTGATGGAAAGACTAGAGCTCCAGAGAGAGGCAGGAACTGGGCCTGAGGCCGTGTGAGACTTGGGGGAATAATAAGGACTGGAGGCCAGTCTCCCGCACAGCGGTGGACCGTGCACTGGAGCAGGCTGGGCCTGCAGTGGAGTTGGGTGGGTGCAGAGGGTGGGTGGGCATGGCCGGGGGGCACCAGAAGGCTGACCAGCAGGTGCCCGCAGGCCGTCCGGCGCTTCGAGGAGTGTTGTGAGGCCCAGCAGCACTGGAAGCAGTTCCACCACATGTGCTACTGGGAGCTGATGTGGTGCTTCACCTACAAGGGCCAGTGGAAGATGGCCTACTTCTACGCCGACCTGCTCAGCAAGGAGAACTCCTGGTCCAAGGTGGGCTCACATCAAGTGCTGGGGGCACTGGGGGACCAACCCAGATTGGCCATGGGCCCCAGACCAAGGGCAAACTCCTAACTGAACACAGATGTCCCAGCTGGAATTTAAACGGAACCATAACTTCTCATAGGACTCAGGGTGGGGAGGGACGCAGTGTCCCCAGGGTGGTGAGGAGCAGAGAAACGTCAGAACTGTAATGTGTCCGTCAGGAGTTTTAGTCACAAGGGACAGACACATGGCTAGCACTGCATAGGTGAGAGCTGTCCAGTAGGACCTCTGCGCTGGTGGGAATGTTCTGTCCTGCACCATCCACATGGTAGCCACCAGCCACATGTGCAGTGAGCACCTGAAATGTTCCTAGTGCAACTGGGAAACCAGGTGTTTTCAACTTTATTTAACTTTAAATTTTAAAATCACATGGGCTAATGGCCACGGTATTGGACTTTGCTGGTCTAGAACACAGAATGCTTATTGGTTCATACAACAGAAAATTCTAGGCAAACTGACTTCAGGTAGGGCTGGATGCAGGAATTCAAATCGTGTTGTCAGGGCTTAATTTCTCTACCTGTACTGTGTTCTCTTCAATATATCTTTGTTGTACAGGCAGGTTCTCTCCATGTGACAGGCAGGGTGGCCCTGGGTTGCCTGCTGCCAACTCATGTCATCCCTTTGGTTTCAACCAAAGTCCCACGATACAGCCTCATTGGTCTGCATAGATTGCATGTCAATGCCTGGAAACAGAGGGATGGGGAGCAGAAGAGAGGTGGTTGCAGAATAAAAATGGCGTGATGTCCCCAAAAGAAGCATTTGGGGGATTAAATCGATGCCTGTAGGCAAAACAAAGCAAAAAAGGTGCCCACCATAGGTGAAAACATAAAATCAAGTGGTGAAATAAGCATTAGCCATTATTACCATAGTAATGCTGGCACAGAATTCTGAACAGAGTTTTAAAATCATCATCAGCACCTAATCTGGTATTGGTAAATACTTAGCACATATGTCTCAATGCCTTTAAGTCCCTATTTCTCATCCCTCCCCACCTCTGCATGGAAGTCCTTCTTCAGTACCCCTGCCTGGGGACCAAATGAAAGGGAATTCCCTGGGTCTGGGGCAGGTGGGGTTGGGGGAAGGGGCAGGGTGTCACTGAGCTCTCACCATGTGCCCAGTGCTTGCCATTTCCTCCACACCACACCCAACAAGGCAGAAGTTATCTCCGTTGGGCACACCAGGGCTGCTGTGGCTAAGGGGGTGTGACTTTCCTGGCTCACACAGCTGTTGGTGACAGACTGGGTTTGAAGCCAGCTCTGTGAGACTCAAAGGCCTCTGCTTTTCCCTTGTCCCTCAAGTCTCCCGAGGAGGCCCAGGTTGCCCTACTGCTAGAGGCGCTTCCTCAAGCCCAGCCCTATGGGCCCAGCATTCATTCCTCATCACTTCCCACTCCCAGTAAGAGCACAGACTCTAGGAACCTTTTGAACAGGTGACCTAGAAGCCTTCCTGTGGAATAAGCTGGGCAGCTGTGTCTGCCTACACAGGGAAGAGGGGTGGGGGTGGGGGTGCACACAGCTGCTGTGAGCAGTGGAGGGAGGCCCAGGCCTCCCAGGTGTCAGGAAGTCTAGCTGGGTCAGCTCGGTACCCAGCTGTGTGACTTTGGGGTGGTCAGCCCCCACTCTCTCGTGTTTTCCTCAGAAGGGTTTCCTGTGAAAGTGGGGGTTGTAGCACCCTCAGCTCTGGGACCTCATTCATTCCTACTCCCCAGCCCTTGGCCACCACAGAGTCCCCCAACTCAGCTCTAGGGCTTTGGTTGTGGCATCCCTCTCTGCCCTGTGGAGCCTTCATTTCCCTCAGCCGGAAACCAGGTGGTGACAACTGCACGCCGTGCAGCAATGAGGGAATGGGAGCTCCGAGGTAGCTCTGGGGAGCCAGCCACCCAGCCACAAAGACGGGCGGCCTCTGGAAGAGGAGACATCTGAGCTGATTTTGAAGGAGGAGGAATTAGAGTGGAAGTGGAGTAAGTAAAGGACACCCCAAGTCAAGAGAACAGACAGGTCAAAGGCTGGAAGTCAGGGTGCTGCTAAGGGGCTCAGTGTCCCCAGGTGAAGGGTTGTGGGTAGAAGTGCAGGGGATTATGGAGAAACCATCCCCATTAAGTCACTGGCTATAGCTGCTGCTGCTTCTTTTTTTAAATCCTCACCCAAGGATCTATTTTCCATTGATTTTTAGTGAGAGTAGCAGGAAGGAGGAGTGGGGGAGAGAGAGAGAAGAAACATTGATGTGAGAATGACACATCGATTGGTTGCCTACCACACATGCCCCTACTGGGGTGGGGATCGAGCCTGCAACCCAGGTTTGAGAATCAAACCCATGAGTCTTTGGTATGGGGGTTGGTGCTCTAACCACTGAGAACACCGGCCAGGGCTGCTGGAGCTTCTTGAAGACAAGGGCTGACTGCACAGACCCTGGTAGAGTAATACAGAAACTACAGGAATCAGGGAAAACAGATAACCCTGGGGAGACAGAACTCCCATCAGAGGAGGCGGCTGCTGTTTTCCGTCAATGTGCCCCATGTATCCCTTAATAACGATGTCCATGGGTGTCACGTCCACCCTACCTCCTGGTGACTCAAGGTGGGTGAGCTGACTGGGGGGAGTAGGAGAAGCCTCTTAGAGGAAGCCAACGGATAAGCCTGGCAGAGAAGGAACAATGACATCTTAGGCAGAGGAAAGGCACAGGCAAAGGCCTGGGGTGAGTTTAAGGGGTGATGGGGAATAATTGGCAGAAGAGGAGCCAGAAGGGCAGGACAGGGAGGGCCCTGAGTGGCTGTTCAGGCTTTAGTCTGACAGTGAAGGAACCCTTGTGCTGTGGTTTAGATTTGGGCTTTAAGAACTCCCTCCTGTGGTTGCTGGGCACCGCCACCTGAAGCTGAGTGCCTTTGATGTATTCTGGAAATGGCCCAGAGGCCAGTGTGGTTAGAATGATGTGAGGGAGGGGGACACAGTGGGAGATGAAATTGGAGAGGAAACTGGGGGAGACTGGATGGGGCCTTGCAGGCCAAGAGAGGGAGTTTGGGTTTTATCCTGTGTGATGGGATATCACAAGAACATTTCAAGGATGGGCTGATGTAATTTGACATAAAAAGATCTGACTGGCATGGTGTGGGGAATGGCTTGCAGGGGGCGGGAGGGGTGCAGGAAGATGGGTTAGAAGACCATGTAAACTAGGACAATAGAAAGACATCTCTGGTGGACTGGAGCAGGGAGCAGTGTGGAGGCTGGTGCAGTAATTGAGGTAAATGATAGCTCAAGGCCAGTGGGATGCAAGAGCTAGAGGGAAGGTCATGAAGACTTAGTGACTCAGTGCTAGCCAGGATGGGGAAGAGGGAAAAGGCAAGGATGACACCAGGGAGTTGAAGATGGGATGGGCAACAGGTTTCAGTGAGGGGTGATTCTTCTCACCACACCCCACAAAACAGTCTTCCTGCATTTTCTGAAGGGCAGACTGAGGTGCCGAGGTCAGCGAGGAACTAGGAGTAGCCCTGGGCTTCAGCATGGGTGGGGCTGCCAGGTGGAGCTGCTTTCCGCCTTCTCCAGAGACGAGGCCCCAGGATGTCCTGCTCCGGTTCCTCCTCCACCCAGTACACTTCTTTCTGGGCTAATGGCAGGTGGGCAGGTAGTTCCTTGGCAGGAGCTGGGGTAGCAGGAGCTGTGGTTCAGGGCTCAGCCACTGGAGGGCAGTACAGATCCAGGCTCCTCTGGCACTGGACTTAGGGGGAAGGAGTGCAGCTTTCAGGATCCCTGGCGGAGGAAGGGGGTTCTGCACAGCTGACCCCTTCCTGTCAGGAGTGACTGTGGATCCAGTGGACAAGGCCCTTAAAGCCACACAAACCTGGGGTCACTCCCAGCTCTGCCCCAAGCAGCTCTGAGGTCCCAGGAAGCAGAGGGTGCCTACCCTGGCATTGTCTTTGGGATCACGTGAGGTGATGTATGTAGAGCACCTAGCACACAGTAGGCAGTTCCACCAGTTCCGACAGCCGTGGCCCAGGGTCCTGCTCACTCTTCTGGCCTCACACCGCATTTATGCATCCCATACTTTATGCTACCTATCTGTATCTTGGTTATACACAGGCTCTGCTCAGCTATTTCCCTTGCCTGGGAAGTCCATCCTCAGGGTCTCTGTGAATCTTCCTGTTGGCCTGACTGGGCCCAGTCAGAAGTAATTGCTTCCCAGAAGCCCTTGCTGCCCAGCCTGCGTATCTCCATCCTAGCCTCAGCACTGCCTGGGTGTCCACTGGTTGCTTGAGTCGCTTTCTCTATTGCTTCAGAGTGGAGAGGGTGGCAGCTGCTTTCATATGGGCCTGTCCTGGATTTAACCCCCAGCTCAAGTTCTCAAGCTGCTTCAGCTCCCTCAGTTTCTCCTCTGGGGCTGGGGGATGATGTTAGCTCAGGGGTGGGCAAACTTTTTGACTCGAGGGCCACAATGGGTTCTTAAACTGGACCGGAGGGCCGGAACAAAAGCATGGATGGAGTGTTTGTGTGAACTAATATAAATTCAAAGTAAACATCATTACATAAAAGGGTACGGTCTTTTTTTTTTTTTTAGTTTTATTCATTTCAAACCCGGATCCGCCCGTGGGCCGTAGTTTGCCCACGGCTGTTTAGCTCCTACGCTGGGTCAAATGAGGTATTTGTGCCAAATGAATTGCCACGTGGGTTGTGGCTTCCTCAGCTGTTTCCAAGGGCAGAGTAAGATGTGCTCTGCAGCTCCACAAGCCTCCACAGCTGTTCTGGGAAGGTGGGCTCCTCACACCTGACTCTTGCCCTGCCTCTCACAGGCCACCTACATCTACATGAAGGCTGCCTACCTCAGCATGTTTGGGAAGGACGACTACAAGCCGTTTGGGGATGACGAAGTGGAGTTGTTTAGGTGAGTTCTACTATTGCACCCCCCATTGTAGGCTTCAGCCAGGGTCTATCCAGACACCCGGAGCTGACAGCATCCCTGGCCCTGGGCGCCTGGACCCTCCCCCAGGATTGCCCCCCCCCCCCCCCCCCGCCCGCCATTCCCTTCCATCACCCCCTCCTGTGGTTGCTTATTAGAGCCCTTTGAGTGTTCGAGGCTTTCTTTCACCAAAGTGGTTTTGTCAACATCCTTTCCACTGAGCCTCTTTTGTCAGGTCAGTAGGACACTGAGGTCGAGATGTACCCTTGGCTGAGTTAACCTGCTAACACTCAGAGAAGCACACAGAGAGCCAAAGAGCTGGATCAAATAAACAGGATTAAATCCAGCCTTTGCCATTTATCTGTGTCACCTCAGACAATCTCAGCATCCATAAAATGGGAATAACCTCTGCCTTGCAGGCTGTTTTGCAAATCAAATAGAGAATATATTTAAAGAGCCTGGTGTAGGGCCTGGAGCCACTAAAGGGTGGCTGCTTTTAGTCTTACCTATAACTGCTGTGTTTGCTTTTTCTGCAAAGGGTCTGGAGCAGGGCTCAGCCTTGCAAGTTGAGAATGGGGAAGATAATTTTCCCCTCTATTCTTCTAGGTTTGGGGCTGAAACCCTTCTCCTCCCCCCATAATAAAAGACAGATTAACAGGAGAAAAACAAACAGAAGTTAAATAACATGCATGCCTCCTATATATGTGGGGGAGGGGAGACCCAGGAAAACTGAGCAACTCACCAAAATGGCTGAATCCAGCACCTTAAATACCATCTTCAGCTGAAGACTAAAGGTGTTGGGGGTGGAGAGCCAGTATGTGGGGTTACCAGAAAAGCACAGTAAACAAGGGTAAGGTTGTGATGCATAATTAAGTCATTTTCTTCTGCACTGATGAGCATCTCGAGATTTAGTCATCCCCCTCTTCCTGAGAGGGAGGTGCCCTAACAGATGGGATCTCCCTTGTAAATAGAAATGTCTCTCACAAAAGGTAACGTCTAGGTTTTCAAGAGCTCTTCCTGTGTATGCTATTTCTTAAAAATAACCAGCCTAAAATAATCCTTATGCCAAAGAGGCATGTTGTAGGGTGACAATTCTGCTCTCCTTCATATCATTATCTCCATTTTAGAAAGGAGAAAACAGGCCCAGAGAAGTTTTGCTGTGAAAAAGCAGGGGCGGTGTTTGGTGGGGGAGCTCACAACTAGGTCCAGTTGTTTCCTGGGCGGCTCACACCCCGTGACTGTGGCAGAAATCGGAAGGTGGGATGGAGCTGGGTGGGTGAGGCCCCAGATGTGGAGGCTTGGCTTAGCTGCATACCACATTTTACTCTGCCCTTGGACACAGCTGAGGAGGCCACAAATGCCTGTGGCAAGAGATAATTAAAACTTCCAGATGTGCAGTCTTGGGCAAGTCCCTCCCTTTCTTGGGGGTTTTAGTCTCCCCTGTGAAATGGGGCCGGCCCCTCAGGAAGTGGGGCCTGGGAGTGGAGAAGAGACAGCTAGAAGGCAGAACAGGCCTGGGCCTTTGTGTATATTCTCTCCTCTGCCAGCTGGTGTGAAGGAGCCCTTTGCCTACTCATAGGAAGTGGTCAGGTCTTGGGTCAAAGCCTGTGAAACAAGATGTAGACTGAGTCCAACACTATCATCATGTAGACGGGGAAACTGAGGCCCAGAGAGGTGCCAAGCAGCTGCTTGGCAGTCTGGGGACTCTCAGTTCTCTCTTGCTTTTTCTCACCCTCCTCCACCCTCATCTCTCTTGCAGGGCTGTGCCAGGCCTGAAACTCAAGATCGCTGGGAAATCTCTACCCACAGAGAAGTTTGCCATCCGGAAGTCCAGGCGCTACCTTGCTCCCTCACCCATCTCATTGCCAATCCCTGCTCTGGTGGGTAGGAGGATCTTTTGGGATTGCATTTGTTTGGGATTATAGGGATTAGCTGAGAGCCAGGGGTACAACCACAGGCCCAGAGGAAGTGGATGAAGGAGAAAGACCTTCATGCCTCAGGGGCCTGGAAAGGATTTCACAATTCACCTGGGATAGGGGACAGAGGAGTTTGAGCCAGCCCTGCCTCTGAGGAAGTGCTGGTGGCCAGGGGGTGGGGCTACAAGTGAGCAGCCCTCCTAGACAGCCCACACCCTGTCCCCAGGCAGAGGCTGTTTGTGCTCCTACCCTGCTTGTTTCAGTCTTGTCACGTGATTGTTGTTTACACTGTTCCCATCACTGGACTGAGCTTTTCTGAGCCCTGAGCCCTGGGATTGTGTTATAGTCAGCTCTGAAATAATAATAGCCGACATTGTTATTAATAGCTGTGTTCAAGGTTCATACCCATGGCCCATGGCCTCATTTGAGCCTCACAATAACCCTCTGAGTAGGTGCGGTGGTATTCCCATTTTACAGATGGGGATACCAAGTCCTAATAGATAATAAAAATAGAAAGATATTTAATAAGTAGACAAGATATAAGTAGAAAGATAAAATAACTTGTCTAGGTTGCACAGCTAGGGAATTAGAGTCAGGATTTGAACCCAAATAGTCTGGTTTCTGAGCCCATTTCTGAATCATTGTGATGCTAATTCCATGCATGATTTTAGCAGGCATCAGAGAAGTAGAAAAAGTCCTCAGAGACCTTTTATTGGTCATGGACCTACTATTCACTAATGTGTGACCTTGGGTAGGGTCCCCCTTCCTTAATATAAAATGGGGTAGCATATACTTTGCCCATTTCATAGAACAGTTATGAGAAATCAGTTGATAAAATGTTACTTTATAAATCAAAGCATTCAATATTTATAGAATGTATTTAGAACTTGTATCCTGACTACCTCTATTTAGAAATATTTTATAAAGTAAAACTACTGTCATCAAATGGGGAGGGGGGTGTTGTAAGGAAGGGTTGGGGAAGCACCTATACCAAAAATTTAGGAGAGAATTTCCCAAATTATAATCTGGAAAATACCATTTATGCGTAAAATGATTTCTGAAATATATTAGGTAAGACTGTTCTAAACAAAGTGTATATAATGTAGACCTTGGAGCTTTTATATACCAATCAGCAGGGTAAGTCTCAAGAAGCTTTTTTCCTAACTCATTTGGCCCTGGATTTTTTTTTTAATGGAACATTTACTAACTTGGGACCATATTATGATCTTCAGAAACACTGGTCTAAACTTAAATTCCCTCCCTAGAACATAACAAGAACCATAAGAGTAATGCCTTTCTAGAACTTTATGTACACAAATCACTTTCACATCTATTACTTGGTTTGATAGTTTAGAAAATGCTAACCTAAGAAACAAAATTACTATGAATGAACATGTTAGTATTCTGAGCTTCCTAGAAGTCAAGGCAGAAAAAGGAAATCAGAGTGTTTCATAGTTTTCATGATGGTAACTCAAGCCCAACGCCTTGGGGGCGGGGGGAGAGGGGGGAACAGGAGAGGTGACAGTCTTAAACTCTTGGAAATACTGAAGTGCTGAGGTAAATTATTTCTCCAATATTTAGAAGCTTAGAAGGGCCTTTAGTGATCCTCTGATCTGAGCTGCCCATTTTACAGATGGGGAAACTGAGACCCCATTGAAGAAACCTAGGACTGACTTGCTCCCCTACCTTCAGGAAATGATGTACATTTGGAATGGCTACGCTGTGATTGGGAAGCAGCCCGAACTCACAGATGGGATACTTGAGATTATCACCAAGGCTGAAGAGATGCTGGAAAAGGGCCCAGGTGACTACCCCAGGCCCTTGAATCTGCCAGGCTGGGTCAGACCACAGGACTTGCAGTTGAAATTTTCCTCTACCAAAAATGTCTGTCCTCCTTTCTCTACCCTGGTAACTGACCTTTGCCTTTCTTTCTTTTTTAAAAAATGTTTTATTGATTTTTTACAGAAAGGAAGGGAGAGGGATAGAGAGTTAGAAACATAGATGAGAGAGAAACATTGATTAGCTGCCTCCTGCACACTCCTTATTGGGAATGTGCCTTTCTAGACTGAGTGTCAACGAGAGCTCCTCCAAGCTGTCTCTTGTCCCCCAGGTTGAGTCAAGGCCTCCAATGGGCTCCCACAGCCCCTGGGCTTCCTTCAAGCAGCCTTGATTCCACTGTATTGTCCTCGTCTCAGTATGTCTTTTCTTCCCAGATGTGAGCTCCCTGAGGACAGGGACCATGTGTGAGTCACCTCTGTGTCCTCAGGGCCCAGCACAGAGTAGGGACTCCATGAGTGACTGTTGCAGAAATGAATAAGCCTGTTTTCTCCTCTCACTCCCCTGTTCTCAGAAAATGAGTACTCAGTGGATGATGAGTGCTTGGTGAAGCTGCTGAAAGGCCTGTGTCTGAAATACCTGGGCCGTGTCCAGGAGGCTGAGGAGAATTTCAGGAGCATCTCTGCCAAGTAAGTGCCTCTGTGGCTGCTCCCAATCCAGATGGCTACTGTGGCCTGGTTCTCCTGGGTAGAATTTTCAGGACTGCTTCTCCCTCCTGTGCACTCCAGTGCCTCCCCCTAGGTACTACATGTATACTAGTGTCTACTCCGTGCCAGGGCCTAGCAAGGCACAGATCATTTTCAGACCTCATCTGGCAGGGCTGCCAGCCTGCTCAACTACAGGAGTCTATCCACGTTGAGTTTTGTGTTAATGTTGCCCCTGGAGTTTGTAATTCACCAACCCTGCCCTTGCTCTTGTGGATTACAAATGTTACAGATCAACAGCTACAGGCAACTCAACCTGATATGATCCGGGCCGTGGCACAGGGAAGCGGAAAAGACAGCAGGTGTCCTGAGGAGGGACCTAAACCTAATTCAAGATACCAGGAAAGGTTTTCCAGGGATGCCAGTTAAATTGTCAAGTTTATGGGCAGAGAAAGTAATGAAGGAGGAGTTTTAAGTTGAGTAGGGACAGCATGTGCAAATGCTTGGCACAGATATGCCTGAGGTTGGAAGGACAATGATTAGGCTTTTCCTGCCTGGGTGAAGTTATAGAGCAGGGGTGGGCAAACTTTTTAACTCGAGGGCCATAATGGGTTCTTAAACTGGACCGGAGGGCCGGAACAAAAGCATGGATGGAGTGTTTGTGTGAACTAATATAAATTCAAAGTAAACATCATTACATAAAAGGGTATGGTTTTTTTTTTTTTTTTTTAGTTTTATTCATTTCAAACGGGCCGTTTGCCCACGGCTGTTATAGAGGGAAAGGGTTGCAGATGAAATAAGGGGAGGGGGGCACACCTAGACTGCAAAGGGCGTGGCTGTTTTGCTTACAAGACTGAACTTTATCCTGTAGACAGAAGAGAGTAAGGAAGGATACCAAGCAGGGCAGATCTGGGTTCTAAAAGGATAGTTCTGGGACAGCATGGTGGGTAGGTTAGAGGGGCCAGATTGAAGACAGGACACTTCCCAATATAATAATTCAACCAGGAAAAAGAGGGTTGGGGACTGAGGTGGAAGTGGCCAAGGGTATGACATGAGCCATAGGTTGTTAGGGAGTTGGGTCCCAGGTGCAGAGGTCTGGAAGGCTCTGCTGTGGATCCTAAACCTTCCTAGGGCTAGGTAGTGGGAACCTTCCCAAATGAGAATTCAGAGCTGGAAACCCCACTTGAGGGCATGGGTTGGATCCTCCCATTTGGGGAAGGCCTGTGAGAAGCCTGAAGGACGTTTCAAGGGTGAGCCTGTAAGCCATGTCCTCTTCTTTCCCACAGCGAAAAGAAGATTAAATATGACCACTACTTGATCCCAAATGCCCTGCTGGAGCTGGCTCTGCTGTTTATGGAGCAAGGCAGAAACGAAGAGGCTGTCAAACTCTTGGAAACTGCCAAGTAAGGCTTGATTAGCCCTGGCTGGGGCTAATTAGTGAGGGAGGGTGCTGGCAAGCGTGGTAAGGCAGTCCAGAGCCTGGGCCCTCATCCCCAGGAGCCCAGCTCTCACCTAGGGTGGGAAGGCTTCCTTCTCAATTCACCAATGAAGAATTAGAATCCCAGAAGCAGTGAGTGAGTTGCCCAGGATCACACTCAAGTCAGCCACAGGGCTGTGTGAAGACCCTGGTCCCCTACGTTCCAGCCCATAGATCTACCTCTTGACACCTCAAGTCTAGGGACTGATCAGGACCAAGAGTTCCAGAGGGCATGATGTCTGGGTGAGGGGCTACACAGCCTTTCTGCTAATCCCTATTGGCAGACCACCCAACTTTCTCTAGACAGAGACAGGGATTTAGACCTCTACAATTCTTCATTGGCTGGTGGACTCCCACAGTTCAGACTAAAGAAACAGCACTTTCTACAGCAGCCTCATGTGTCTGATTCTCTGGTCTCTTCCAGGCAAAACTACAAGAATTACTCCATGGAGTCAAGGACACATTTTCGAATCCAGGCAGCCACACTCCAAGCCAAGTCTTCTCTAGAGAATGTAAGCAGAGCTGTGGTCTCATCAGTGTCCCTGTAGTTTGGCGCAGCACTCCCAAGCTGGCAGACAGACAGCTGGACAGAGCTCCTGGAAACATTTCAAAACTGATCCCCACCCCCTGCCCTGCCTTTGGGGTCCACCGGTGCTCCAGTGGGATGGCACGACATGAGTATCCGTGAAGAAGCCAAGCCTACATTTTCACCTGTGTGGCCAAGGTCCTCTGCCAAGGACAGAGCAGGTGGAGCTCTCCACCTGCCCTATCACATATACGGGTACTTGTTTTTCACTGTGATGTTTAAGAGAATGTATGAACAGTTTACATTTTACTTAGAAATACAATGATGGGATCATAGTTGGCTTTTCAAAAAACCACCAACCAACCACCTGTAACCTTTGCTTTAACCCATACTGATCGGGGGGTAAGTCTGTATGCTGCCAAAGGCCAAACTGCTTTTCAAATGTCAGCACGGTCTCAGCTCCCAGGGCTGGAGGGACCCTCAGGATGGTCTGCACCTCAGGCTTCAAGGCTTCTGGGGTTGCACAGAGACACTATCTTACACTTTGTTTTAACTCCCTTTGTACCTGTCCAATTTTTAAAAAGCAAACATGTCTATTTAGTGAGATAACTTTCATTGGGATCCATCTGTAGGAAATCAGTCTCCACCAGTAAGGAATGGGGATGCCGAGGCCTGACAGAAGGGGACCTGTGTGGCTCTTTCTGTGCCATGAAGTTGGGGGGGGGGGGTGGGAGGGGGTTGCCATCAGATTGAAACCATTGGGAATTATTTAAAAAATCTTCTGTACTTCATTCTGAGGTACATTTATTTACTGACAGCATTTTTCTTAGAAACAGGATGGCAATTCTTGGCATATTTTATATGTTTTAATTTTTTTTTCAGTTAAGAGAAAAGAGATATTTAAGTAATAAAACTTATACTTAAAAGAGAACATGCAACATCTACTAGTATTTCAGTCAAATATGTGTTGCTTGAATTCTTAGGCAGGGCAGAAAGTTTGGATCAGAAACCATGTGACCTAGGTATGTTTTATTTGAACAACATGATATTTTAAAAAATTTTAGAATAAGTTAACATTTAAAAATGAGGAGATTTCACAAATAAGTCTGGTTTCTGACCTCTAATTAAAAAAAAAAAAATCTGGCAACATGGGGCCTCATTACCATAAAGCAATAAGGCAACAATCAGTTGGAACGGAGTAGAGGCTACTTTAAATACTTATCTTTCTGGTCTCTAAAAGCACCTGCATTTGCAACTTCTGGGACAGTTAAAATGAGAACTCAAGTTCAGTAACCAACACCAAACTTTACCATTCACAATCCCATGACAGCATACTTAAATTTAACCATTTCCCTAGAAAAATCATGGACACAGTAAAAATAGTCATCTATGAACATGTGACTCCTCAAGTACATGAATGCAATTTCTTTAAGGGAAGGACCGTAGACAACTTTCCCAATCTTCCAGCACTGCTGTATTTAGCAAATACTTTTGAGCATCTGTCAGTGGTTGGGTGGGTTAATCTATTAATGTACAGTCAACCAGCTTCCATGACTGACACTGAATGAAGCAATGGGTTATAGGCATTTTCTCATTAGGGAAAGAAAAGCAGAAAACCCTCATTCAAGCTCCTCCTTTGCACTTAGTACTGTCACAGCAGAAATGCTACGAAGTTTTTTTCTCGTTTTGTTAGAATTAGACAAAAGAATGCTCTCCATAGAGCAGCCCTTTGCAAGCTGTATCTCCTCCAAAGCCTGGGTGCTGGGAGACCAGTTTGTTTCTAGGTGACAGGGCATGGCAGGGTCAGAGGTGACTAGAGCCAGGCTGCTGAGAGGATAGCATTTAGTGGCTTCCCCACATATTAGAAGAACTCTACCTGCTGCTGTATAAAAGCAGTACTGGCCATAGATACAAAATATAATTTGCAAAATAGTTTATAAAAAGCTTTATTTCAACCTTTATTTTAGGTGCTTCTGCTTGTATTTTAAAGTTTAGTCAGTTTCCTTGTCAGTGTTTGTTGCTGTTTTCTTGCTGGGCTTCATTAATTAGCCTACGTCACCTTTACCTCTCTGTCTGCTGCCCTGGCTGCAGTCTGGCTGATAAGAGAAATCAGTGGATTTTGTCTCCTTTATCCCAGCTGCAGCTTGAGATAGTCTGTGAAAACATGTATGTGGAGGAGAGTGGAGGGTGACCATATTGGGTGTCTGACACCATATCCTGTGCAGAGGCCTTTGAAGGTGAAAATTCCATTATGGGCTTCTCACTGTGTCTCTTTGAGCCATTTCTGGTTACTTCTCTTAAAGACTTTTCCAGCACATCTGCCCTGGATAGGCAGCTGGTCAGGTGGAGAGTTTTGGCCTAAAAATAAGGAGACTTGAATTGTTGTCCCTGCTTTGCTACTGACTGATTTTCAGAGTAACCTTAGGAAAATCACAGACCCACTAAAAACTAGTAATTTGGACTAGATTACTCTTTCCTGCTGTTAACAGTTCGAATTCTAACTCTGGTCAAGTCTGTTGGTGGGTTTTCATCTCCAAAATGAGGCAACAGAAATATAACTCTCTGCTTTTTGCCAAAACTTAACCAGAAATGATAGGCTTCCTCAATCAGGGGCCCCGACAATAGCCCAGGATACCAGTGAGCAAATAATCCTCATTTGGGGCAAGTCTGCATTCTGTGCCACACAGAGGAACTCAGTTGTTAGGAAGTAGCAACTGTGTAACATGACCTGAACAGGCCCTTGACAACGGAAAGTCTACCTCTGCCTCTCATTGATCACAGGCCCTTGGGCTGGCTGGCTGGCTTTCAGCAGTGTGCTGCTCCCTATCAGTTCTCCCATGTGTTAGCAGGATTCCCTATTCCTTATCTCTCAAGTCAGAATGGGAGTGTTTCCAAGACCTCTATCGTCATTCATGCAAAAAGACAGGACCCTAAAGGGCCAACACCAAACCAAGACTTGGCTGAGGTCCAGGTGGGCAATTCCTGGCAACTGAAGAACAGCACCAGGAGGTTTTAGAAAACCCTAGCCTGTGACTACATTCAACAAAGGAATAAAATCCAAAGACACTTTTTTCTGGAGTTACTCCCAAGTTTATTTCTTCTAAAATGATGGGGAATAGACAACTTCTCGTTTGTTTAAAAATTAAAGCTAACAGTGTGCCTTTTCAACAACTGTTTCCTTATGTTCTTAGCACCATCACACTAATGCAGTAATAAATGAGAGGTACCTGGATTCTGAAAACCATGTAGCAAATGGGAACTCCTCACCCCAGTCCCAGAGGTAGCTCTCCAACGCTAGAAAGTGTCTTTCTGCTTGGGTTAGCACAGCTCCGGAAACCTGGTGCAAAGTTCACTACTGCCCAACAGGGTGAGTCCACAAACAAGGAGCCTCATTTGGGGGCTTGAAAAATTCACTTCTAAGTTAGCAATCTATGAACTGCCTCCACTGCACAAAGTCAACTGTCAAATGACAAAATGTAATACAGTCCTTCCTCTGGGAAGATATACAATTACTAAAAGTCACTATGGACTTCTTAAAGTTGACATTCAAGTTTAATTAGACACGTCACAGGTAACACCTCACAAATGACTGGACTGGGTTGTCTTGTTTTTCTTCACATCATTAACAAACACCTCTGAACACCAGACACTATATGCCCTGGGTGGAAGAAAAATAGCTAATATCAAATGCTCATTATTTACCAGTTGCTAGTTTAAGTACTTGACATGGTTCTAATCCACATAACCACACTATGAAGTAGGGATGATTATTGCCATTTTACAGATGAGAAAACTGAAACAGGTTAAATAATTTGCCTAAGATCACCTGGTTACTTTGCAGCATAAAGATTTGAAGCTAGGCAGTTAATTCTAAAGCCCACACTTTGCTAAACTGCTGGTTGAGCTTAAAATGATTACAAGTTGGAGCTGATTTATAGTCACTAGGCCACTCTTAAGGTACTGGCTAAATACTCAAACACCAGAAACTCTTGGCTTAAAACACACAGCATATGTCTGTGTGGCAGTTTCCCCAGGCCACTAAGCTTCCTGAGGTAGGGATAGGGTCTAACTTCAATAAAGTCAAAAGGAAAAAAAGGCAACCCTTAAGCAACAGTATTTGCTCATAAAATGATCAAGGGCTATTGGAGGAAAAGGCTCTAATTCCCAGATGGATAGGCAGAGTCTGGTCAGCTACTCCAGAGACAAGAAGTGAGGCCTGAACAGATGTAGAGAGACAGGCCTGGACTGAGGCTTGAGGGGCAGCAAACCATATGCTAGAAGAGCTTTGGTATCCTACATAATAAAAGCCTAATATGCAAATTTTCCCCTTGGGCGGTTGTTCGCCTGGAATACTGACCACTTGCTATGACGTGCACTGACCACCAGGGGGCGGTGCAGAGCATGGTGGGCGTCAGCTACATGGCGCTGGCAGCGGGGCAGCAGTGGAGGCACTGCTGGCCCTCATAGGCCCCGACGAGAGTGGGGCCACGGCTGGATGGTGGAGCAGGTGAGCAGGCGGCACCAGGCCAAGGCGGGTGCAAGCAGGTGCCCGATTGCCTCATTGATTGTCCCGCAAACGATGACCAGCAGCGGTGGTGGGGAGCTCAGCTGCCACCTGGCTCCCAGGCGCTGAGGGAGCTGAGTAGGGGGCCCAGGCCTGAACAATCACCCTGCAGGCAGGATGGTGGAGCAGGTGAGGGGGCAGCACCAAGCCAAGGTGGAGTGCCAGGAGGGGCTGGGGGCGTGAGCTGGGGCTGTGAGGTTGGGGGCGCAATCTGGGGCCTGAACTCCATAGGCCACCCTGAGGGACCCCACCCGTGCACGAATTTGTGCACCAGGCCTCTAGTAAGACGATAAGAAGTAGAAACATTTGAAAATTGGGATGTGTATGCTAAAGGCATTCAATTTTAAGTTTGGCAACATCATCTCTGTGGGTCAAAGTGGTCCATGGGCCAGAAATCTGTCACCCCCGGACTACAGCTTTCAGATAACTATCTATGGAAAGAGGTTGTGAGCAAATTTACAGTTAGAGAAAAGCCTGATCTATTAAAAATAGTAACTTTAGGTGGGAAATTTATTGGACCACATATACTGTGGGAAGGCAGTGGTGGGTTTGGCCTAGAGCAGCGGTCACCAACCTTTCGGACCTTGTGGACCACCAGTGGTCTGCCGACCACCAGTTGGCGACTACTGGCCTCGGGGATGACTGAGTCAAGGGCTCTAGTGCTCTCCATCTCTTGACTTTGCTCCTGTGTTAGATTTATTCTCTTGAACTGGCTTCTCTGCATGGGAGGGGTACGTGGCAGTTCAGACCTCACATCCTTACTTACAGCTTTGTGACCAGAAGAAGCTAGCTTCTTTTCCTACCTCCAGTATGAAAAATCCCAGATAAGAACTCAGATTAGTCTAGCTTGATTAAATGTCCATCCCTTAGACCAGTTTCCCCAGATCAACATCAGATCATCAGGGGATTAGAAGGGTGAGGCCAGGTAATCTACATTTTAACAAGCCCTTCAGGTGGATCTGATGCACACTAAAGTTTAAGAATCACACTGCCTTAGAAAGGGAGTGAGGTACTACAATTGGTACAACTGGGTCACATGCCAGTTGGAGGTTTTTACTATAAAAAAGATGGGGTACTGGGAAAACAAAAACAACATGTATCCACTATATGACCTTTTTTTCAAAGTTCATATACAGAAACTTTCCTAGGTGAAGGGAAGAATAAGGACAGTGGGTACAGTCTGTGGTACTGGTTAGTGACAAAAGCTTATCAGAAGGTTGCTTTTGCCCTTCTTTATAAGATCCCTATTTTCCATTGGGAACTTCCTTGAGGATGGCTCCCTCTCAATCAGAAATGTTCAGGTTCGTTAGGGCTCTCTTCTGCCCCATTTTCTCTTCCCCTTCACCCAAATATCTTGATCTCATAGAGCTTAGTCTGCTAAGGAAGACATACTAGTAGGAGTATATAAAAAGGGGATGTGTTTGGTCTGGAGAATAAGCCAGTCATTGAAATGACTGAAGTGAACTACAGGGCAGAAACTGTAATTCCAAAAGATCTGAGATAGGAACAAGCTTGACATTTTTGAAGGCACAAAAAGAAAGTCTAACAAGGCTATAGCTAGAGTACTATGAAAGAAGAGAGCAGAAAGCCAATGGATCTTCATTAAGAAGTTTGGATTTTACTCTCAGCACACTGGAAAGCAATACACGTTCTAAGCAAAGGAATGACATCATCCAATTTACTCAAAATTATTTTAGCTGCTACATGAAGAATGAATTCTATAGGGTTAAACATGGAATTTAGGAGCTGGTGCGATACCAAAGATTTCCAGCAACACTTGCCTCTGCTTTCTGTAAACTTGCTGATAAAAATAAATCTTCCCTTTACCAGCTACTAGTCTTAAGGAAAAAAATACTATCAATATGCTAAAGTGATAGGCTCTAAGAGTCCATGTGAGTTGGCATTTCATGTCCTTTGCTCATCATGGAAATCAGAAACCCAGTTTATCAAAACCCACATCCATAAATGTGATTTCTTACTTCAAAGATATCTTCAAAGCCATTAACTCAGTTTAAGAAATAAGTAATCCCGAGAATAGTACTTGCAATAACAAACCATTTCAAAATGCCCTACTAGATATAGTACCTGCTCACTACCAGAAAGAAAAATGTTTATAAATTATTCCTCCTCATGTCAAGATCCCATCACGGCAAGGGCCATGATGACAAATGGTTTGTGAAAAACAATTTCCCCTCCCCACACACTGCACATCCTAAAATTGTAGCTATTAATTTATAATTATCTACTGAGTTCAGCTACCCTCATAGACAGAAGGTCATGATTTTGCACAGTGTCAAAGCTCAAGGATTGGCTGATTCTGGAATTGGCAGAATGTAGCCTATTCTCCCACCTCGAGTATGGAGAGTGTTAGAAGCCAATCTCAATGTCTTTCTGACATATTCCAGGCTTCCCAATTCACACAATGCCTTTGGATCCCAAATGACTAAATTACTATGTGGCCCCAGATAAAAGCTGGGCTCATCACTTCTGCAAAGCCAATCAAATCTTCTCACAAGCACTCAAGAGTTCATCACTATGACTAGACTCTTGAGGCAAACCTTCATTTACTCACTTCAACTTCTTTCTTCAGTGCCAAGAAATCTGGAGCCTATAAGCCCTGATGTTATAGAAAGGGTTCAAAGCAAACAGGTGCTGCTGCTCCTTTTAACATAATCAATTATAGATGCCTAAAATGTGTACCTTATTCATAATGCTGCTTCATTCTTCATTCACATGCAGGGGAAAACAAATTTTCTGTGGAAAGCATCCAAAGATGACTAAATCTTCAAGTGGACAGTAACTTTTCACAAGAAACAAAAATATAAAGGAAAGTTAGTATCACTCCTAAAGTTTCCTTAAAAATGTTATGAAATGGTAAGTGGTTTTAGTCTATCAGTAACAGTAGTCAAATGGTTCCAGTAATTGTCTTGAGCTAAGGCCTATTGCTCAGAGTGATAAAGCAAACAAGAACAATGTGGACAATTAAAATGGGCAGATAAATCCAAACCTCTTTTGTATAATTTCACTAATGCCTCTCAAAAAATTTTATGAATCAGTGAACGGGCTGTAAAGAGATTCATTGGGATTTTCTATTTCCATGCTAAAGAACAAGGAAATGCCAAAAGACAAATGGAAAAGCAAAGTCTGGATACACTTATCTGAACAATCAAACTCTGAACACCCAGTACTGTTGTTAATTTTTAACTTACCCCTGTATGGTTTTAAAAAGGGCTGGTTAGAATTAAGCTAATCAATTTTTTGTGGGATGCTTTTAGTAAGAGGCTCTCATAAAAGGAATTACAAAGTATATTTAAATTAATATTCCCCAAATACTTTTGTTATGTCCATTTACTAACTTCTTTATGTTGTAATGTAAGTCTTAGGAAATAAAAAATAGATGGAAATTGTTTTTCTCAAGTTAAAAATACTGTATGTTCAGCCTGTGTGGCTCAATAGTTGAGCATTGACCTATGAACCAGGAGGTCATGGTTCAATTCCCAGTCAGGGCACATGCCCCTGTTGTGGGCTCGATCCCCAGTAGGGGGCGTGTGGGAGGCAGCCAGTTGATGATCCTCTCATCATTGATGTTTCAACCACTCGCTCCCTTTCCCTTCTTCTCTGAAATCAACAAAAAATATATATATTAAAAAATAAAACCATATTTTAAAAATGCTATGTGCAGAACTAACAAATAGTCCAATAAATTTTCCCTAACTACATAATTAACTTACTATATCTTATAAACCACTTAGGAAAAGAACTGTTTTAAGATGTTTATATAATGCAATATGACTAAACATTTACAGTTATTTACTCCATTAAACCCTATGTTTCACTTAAATCAGAGACGGGGAACATCCGGCCAGGGGGCTGTATAAGGCCCTCAAAATCATTTGGTCTGGCCCTGCGAGGCATTAGGGGTGAGCTAAATGCCTGACCAAATATAGCAGGCTAATTTTTAAGTTGGTTAAGTCTGTATGGCCCATGAATGATGTTATAAATATCCAAATGGTTCTTAGCAGAAAAAGGTTCCCCACCCCTGATTAAATCATCACAAACTAAAGCCCTGTCTAAATTTGAACTGTGAACATTAAATCACTATCTGATGATATAGGCAAATACATATTTTGATGTATATAGAACCAAGAAAAAATTATTTCAGATACTATCTTTGCTCTTAGGAAAATCTCACCTAACGGAGGGTCAATCAACAATTACATTCAATGCAATGATGAAACGTTGTAGTTGGATATTTTTACTCTATACTTTATTTAACAAGCATTTATTAAATAAGCACCTAGGTTTTGAGAATATCTTCCTTAGGAAAAAATGTATTTAAAGAGATAAATGGGTAGATCCAAACTTTTTAATAGGCAGGCTAGCCTGTAATAACAATTCATTTCCAAAGGGAACAGGAGCATCAAACAGCCTTTGTGAGAACAGGGGCACAAAGTTAATGGAAACAAAAGACTTCAATAGTAAAATACTTAGAAACTGGGACCAAGTGGGGAAAAGAAGAAGGAATTCAGCTAAGTCCCCACAGGATTAATATAATGCATCAGGAGGATACTGGCTCTCATGCCCATGACTCCCCTGATGGGAACATCCTGAATCAGGCTTGTGTCTTAGGGAAGTCTAGTTGAATGTAAGGCTGGAGCAAGAGAGCTATTTAGAGAGGTAGAGAGGTAGAGAGGAAGGGGAAAACAAACTATCTTTTCCAGCTTTCTCTCCAACCAATAAAAGACTAGGTGATTTTTAAATTCAGGTGAATAAATTTAATATTACTTCAGGAGCTACTAATCAAAAATCCAACTTTTCCCATGTCCACTAATTTCAAAATTAAAAGTTTAAAAAATTAGTTGACCCATGGATATAGACAATAATGTGGTGAAGGCCTGGCATGAAGGACAGGGTGAGATAGAAGAGGTCAATGGGGGATATCTGTAATATTTTCAATAATAAAGATTAAAAAAATACTAGTTGAGGTTATTATGTCAGCTATGATGCACTTAAATGCAAGTGAATCAGTTGACTCAGAAACTGACTACTAGCTAATATACTTGTAGGCAGAGGTAGCCACCAAGCTGCACACATTTCTGAATTATGCCAAAGAAACTTACCTTCTTCTCCTGATTCCCATTCTCCTCTTTTAAAATGCATGCTTCCTTACAAAGGAGCTTTGTACATAGAGAATTTGTTACTTCAATGCTCACTGTATTCTGTAAAATCATACTGTTTTAATATCACACGGTATGTACTGGTAGTAGGGTGAGTTATAATACGTGGCTTAAGAAATTCTCTACAAAGAACACTCATAGAATTGAAAAGGTTTGTGTGAATCAAACTAGTAGTATTTAAATTTGTTTGGTTTACATTTAAAAGAATAAAATTCTTTTTTATTTTTCCTCATCAGGCTTTTCAGACATTTTAAATCCTATAGCCAAGCATGAACACGCTAATCTAAATATAGTGAGCCTATCATCTGGCTTTAGAAAATTTGAATCTATTAAGCTTCTAAATTTATGATGAAATACCAAGCCATAAAAATACTTTCCCCAAATTATATATACCCAAAGATTCAAAAGTAACTGATTAAATCTATACATATATGTTTTAAAGAAAAGACTAGAAAACTTGGGAAATATTGTTATGTAATCAACTCTAACTTTAGCTCTTTACAACTGTATTATAACTTTATTTAACTTAGTAAAAGCCAAAATTGGTGGTTTTTAACATGTAGCTGAAGGTCAAAATCAAAGAATACAAAGTACCTAAAAAAAAAAAAGCATTCAACTCAATACTGGTACCTTCAATACTACCAAACTTCTGTGAAAGAAGCCATGTATAAAGAAAGACTAACAGCAACATAAAAAATGAGTTTTAAAAAGTTCATTTACCAAATTTAAAGATCTAGAAAAAAAGTCTGACTATAATACTTGATAACACAGACATCATGTTTAAGTAGAAAACACAAGGATAAAAACAGTAATATCACTAAAAATATTGCACAACTTCAGGTGTTTCCTCCAAATTTGCTTTATGTAATTGGGTGGATATAAATTAATGAACAAAAATTAAGCAAGATACATGTAACAATTTAATAAACCTGACAATCTAATTACTTTCATTTTTTTTCTCTCAAATTCATCTTTAAGTCTTTCCATCATGGGGCTCATAAGAAAATTAACCAACATATGGATACTACAGCCAAATGTCAAATCTTTAAAAAGCACTTATGACATACTAAATTCCTCTATACGCAGTTATGAAGAACCTTTAAGATACTTGTATTTTGTATCTAGAAAAGTGTTAGAGTCAAATATTCAACTCAATATAAAATAAGAAACATTTCTGATTTGTTAGGATGAAACTGCTTCTCCTTTTGCTAATGAATGATTTCTTTAGCTGTAATATCACTGAGCTGAACAAATAAACCACCTCTGAGTACATACGGAAAAATAAACACATGCTAAAAATGGATAAAACATTACAACTACTTCTTTACTAGACCATCTCTACCTCTAACACTTCAGAAGCTTAGAGATTCAGTGTTCTTACATTAACTGCAAGATAAAATAAAGGAGAAATTCCTTCTTTTTTGAGATCACAACTATGAAGTCATGTGGTTATACAAATTCTGCATTTGTGTGCAAAACATGAAATACATATATCTTATTTATCCTTGCTTATACTAGACTTGCCAGTCAGCTAGCAGGACTTTCCAAGAAACAGAGACTGAGATGTGTTTTGTATAATTTCAATAACCTCAGCACTACAATAATAAGAGATGCAGTATCCTTTTGCTATGGTTCAAGACAACAGGGAAGGAGGTCACAAGAAAAACTGAGAAACTTTTCTCAGTTTCACCATGGTGCCACTTTCATTTTTACATAAGCATTGTGGCATAATTCAAGCTCAATAAATCAGAAATCTTAATTTTTAAAATTTACCTTAACTTTTAATTATCACCATATTAACCAAAATAATCAGATAAAACACATTGGAAAGGGTAATACTAAACTCCTACTAGAGTTGGCTTCTTGACACATTAACTCATGTTTTTTTATAGAAAGGGATAGTGCATCTCAGTTTGCTTACAAGCTAGGAGATCACTTTGAATTCTGCATTTCCTAACTGCAAACAGATATAGCACTTATAACAGGTTATAAATAAACTGGTTTTCAAGCATAGAGCCAGCCCCAACGATAATAATACACTATTTAAAAAGACCTAAGGCAATGAATTCCATTTCCAATGGAAAAAAAGAACTGTGCAAACAAGCTTAAAACTACTTTTTTTGTGCCAGTGTTATAAAATGTAGCTTTTAATAAAACCTTGACCCAAATGCTAGCAACTTCAGAAAAGAATTTGGGTGGGGAAGAAGAAAGTTATTTCATTTAGGAAAAACAACCACTATCTTTTTCCTAATCTTCAACACACACGATTTAAACATATAACAGCTGCTGTAACACTTTACACAATTCCTATGTACTGGACCAATAACAAGATCTAAATACAATTATATTTTTTTAAACACTGGGTCAAGGCTTTACATAAAAATACCATCCTACTTTTCCCCCTAAGTTTCTAAAATATGACGTACTTTTCCCCAACATCTGCAGCCATTCAGGAATTTTTAGGAAACATTGTGCATGATCTTAATTCCTAATCCCTGGCTCTTTGGGCTCAGTGACAAAAGATCAAAACCACCAAAAAATGAAGGTTCACTTGAAGTCAGATGAGAGATCCTGGCTCAATTAGTCTCATAGGACGAAAGCAGTGCTGCATCAACTGGCTCCATGCAGGAGGGGCATGTGAAGGATCTCATCAACCAGTCATCTATACAGTCCAGATGATAGATGTGCATGCACGGCAGAAATCGAATTGGGTCCCCATAAACAAAGTCCATCATACAGATCACACACCTGTTGGGAGTGAGAGAGAAATAATCAGAAAGCATTTTTAGAGAAGTAGTCTGTATAGAATAATCTTTAAAATCCCATTACAAAGACAGTGTTAATCTGAAACAGATAAAAATGGTTTGCCAGTCATCCTACCATCAAAGCAAATTGAAATTTTTTTCCTATAAGTGTTAGACCATCTACAACCTATCATTTCAATCCCCTGGAAATATGCAGACTTTGAGACCAATCAACAGAACAAAGAGAAATGGACCACATGGGGATCAAAGCCATTGTTAGAACTGTGCTTGTAAAACAGCTACATGTAGAAGACACTGAAAGGAAAATGTGATCCTTTAGGTAGGAAACCACTGGCTAGATAAACTTTGTTTACACGGACTGAGTTTTTAGTTTAAGTCCAGAAATAAGAGTTTCCATTTTAATAACTATACGTATCCGAAACAGAACCACTAATTTCAGCCTACTTACTAGGCTGCTGTAGGCTGGAATTCTCTTTATCAATCCCAGTTTCAAGTTCACTGCACTTTCCTTCAGGTTCAAAAAGCAACCCAATTCTGCAAGTGTTTCAAGTCAGTGTTCTAGACTGACCAGTGTGCTCAGTGGTTAGTATTGACCCATGAACCAAGAGGTCACTTCCTGGTCAAGGCACATGCCTGGGTTGCAGGCTTGATCCACGGCAGGGGGTGTCTAGGAGGCAGCCAACTGGTGTTTCTCTCTCATAGGTGTTTCTATCCCTCTGCCCTCCTCTCTCTCTAAAGTCAATAAAAACATATTTTAACAAAAAAACAATGTTAAAATTCTGAGTCTCTTTCTTCACCAGTCTTTTTTTTTACTTATTAAAAAAGTGTTCTAGATAGGATATGATCCTAAGTGCTAGCACTAAAATTTAAATGGTGCTATGGCTCAGACAGTCAAACATCAACAAAGTAAATTAGATTATGCATGTATTGGCAAGACTACTCTCAACCTAAAAGGAGTATGGCTGTCTTCATTAGAAACTCTCAAATAATAACTCTGAGGACAAAAACTCCCCAGAAGTAAAATTTTATACAATATTCAAATCGCCAGCCTTAATAATATTACTCCACAAATTAAGAAATGGATACAAGATTTTCCTCATATCACTAAAACCGTTAGTAAACAATTTTACTTTCAGTCTGATAGCTTTTATTTATATATTTTTTGGAGGCCTGGTGCACGAAATTCATGCATGGGGGGGAGGAGGGGGATGGTCATCTCAGCCCAGCCTGCACCCTCTCCAATCCAGGACCCCTCGGGGGATGTCCGACTGCTGGTTTAGGCCCGATCCTGGGGACATCCCTCTCACAATCCTGGACCACTGGCTCCTAACCGCTCACCTGCCTGCCTGCCTGATTGCCCCTAACTGCCCCAACCCCCCGCCAGCCTGATCACCTCTAACTGCCTCTGCTGGCCTGGTCGCCCCACGCAGCCTGCTGTTCGGTCGTTTGGTCACCCCTCACTAACCCCCCTGCCAGCCTGGTCGCCCGACGCGGCCTGTTTGGTCGCGATGGTCGCTTAGGCTTTTATATAGATAGATATACAAAATTCTAAGAATAAGCCAGTTGATTATGGCTATATAACTTATCAATGTATTCAAATCAAAGTATTCCTATACCACAATTTACTTAACTATACCTCTACTATTGTTTTTAACTGAATAAAACTATGGTGAATATCTTTATGCATAAGGCTATAGGGGAGTGAAGTAACATTTTGGGATAGATCTCTAGAATTAACTGTCTCAAAGGGTACAGACTTGAAGGTCCTTGACACATTGCCAAATTGCTTTCCCAGCTGACAAGGCAATGTTGGTGCTAGTTTATACTCACACAGATGAATAATTTTTTTAAAAATATACTTTATTGATTTTTTACAGAGAGGAAGGGAGAGGGATAGAGAGTTAGAAACATCTATGAGAGAGAAACATTGATCAGCTGCCTCCTGCACACTCCCTACTGGGGATGTGCCTGCAACCAAGGTACATGCCCTTGACCGGAATCGAACCTGGGACCCTTGAATCTGCAGGCTGACGCTCTATCCACTGAGCCAAACTGGTTAGAGCTAGATGAATCATTTTTTAACTGACATCAACTTTCATCCAAATGGACACAAGTAACATATAAAATGGTCAGAATTCAAATTCTTCTTAAATTACTTTATCTAAACATTATCTTGCATTAACTGTTTATATTAACTGGCTTCCAAAATGCAGGAGAATATTTTTCAAAAGAAAATCTCTTAAAATAGACCTTTAAAACATGTATAAATTTATTGAAACTTACTCCCGGATCTTTTTTTCTGATCCATCTCTTCCAGGGTCATAAACTCCTTTAGGCAGATGTTGTATAAGGCCTATTCTTTGAGCTATCCTAATTTGTTCCTCTTCAGTCAGCTGAGTTGCTAGGCGAGTCTGGCTAGGTGTTGGATGATAGACCGGAACTGGAACTTGTTCCTGAATTTTAAGAAATGGAGAAAAGGATTAGTTTTTAAAAATCTGTTTTCTGGTTTATATTTTCCTTTTGTTTCTTCTTTTTTTGGTTGGAAGGGGAAAGGGGAGTTTGGGGAGAGGTAGACTGAGCTAGTGTACAGTAATATAAGATTCTGTTTTAGCCAGCTTTAATTTTAGCATATCTGACCTACTTTGAAGGATGTACAGTAAACACAAGCTTCCCTAAAACAAAAACAAAAACATGATATATGAAATATTCTCCATGAAGATCATAAAACCCAGATATATTCACTCCTGATACACAAATAGGTAATCAATATAATTAATTCATCTAATGAAATGTATGCAATGTTCTGTAGGACACAATGGAGTTTTGTGGCCTCGGTATACCATTATTTATATTAGAACTGGCCATGATAGACTCTTATTTGCAAACTTATTTTTTCTTTCCACGTAGACAGCAACCTTAAAATTAATTTATTTACTTGAAAAGACTGCATATTTTTGCAATAAACTTCTGTAAAATTCCTTTTAGGTTTCTGGATACATATTTGGATATGATAATTGAGCGAGTCAATATGAGGCCATCTTTCCGCCCAAAAGGAATAAAGAGCTCTTAGGGATATATATTAAATAGCCAAATATCTACTTATAACATTCACTAACTTGCATATATTACCATAAAAAATATACTAATTTAGACATATTGCCATATTGCTTTTTTCCACTTACATTTATAAAGTAATTTTACTCATACTCTTCATACATTCTTTCAACAGATATTCACTGAGTACTCTTAAGTGTCAGGTGATGGGGAGTTGAGAATAAACAAAATAAAAGTTCCTAGAGTGATGGAGGATGCTAGTTTAGATAGTATGCTCAGGGAAAACCTCTCTGATGAGACATTTGAGAAAGTGCCTCAATGAAGTATAAGTTAGATACTAATAATTATAAGACCTAATAATTTCCTTGTGGCTAGAACTATTTGAGCCACCTAATATGTTTTCCAGAGAACATCTCTACTGAATAAACTGGCGGAGACATAACACTTTGAATCCATGTATGAAACTTTCATAGGAAATATAATGTCAAATCATAACTACTTACATTAGAAAATAATTATTGAGTTTCCTGTTAAAGACATTTTTAACATAAGACTTGAAATATTCCTTTTCTCTGAGATTCAGAACAAATGTATAATTAAAGAGCTCAAACCCAGTAAATCCTTTATCAAATAATTAAGAGTATATTCTCCGGCATAAGCAAAATGCCAGCAATTCAAAGTTTAATGTTCTATAAATTTCCATATAAATTATTTAATAATTACTTTAACTACTTTCATACTTCTATATAATCATTTAGGAAATAATAAGCATGTGAATGCTTATCAAAACTATTTTTTTCATCTAAATACTTAGTTCATGCATATTACATGGAAAGAAGATACCATATGATTAAGTATGGCTCTTGAATCCTGAAACCTTGGGCTTAAGATATTTCTCTGCCACTTAACAGAGCTACCATGTTTAAGCTACTTAACTTATCTGGATTAGATCCTACCTTACTTATAGTGTTGTTATAAGGCTTAAATGAGGAAGCTGGTGAATTGCAAGAACTCAATAAATGGCAATTATTATATAATCATTAATATTGCTTTCAAAGAGCTATAACTATTATGGCAGCCAAACTAGCAAGCTTTTCCATCTTACTACCTTTACTCTTGATATTTTTTAAATCTTTCCCTACAGGTACATTGGTCTAAATTCTACCCTATGAAGTAGGTTGTTGACATGAATGAAACATTCTCAGATCCTCTTCCCTGACATCCAATATTGACAGACTCTGCTTCTAGTCTCAGCTTAATTACATAGGTATTGTCTACCTATAAGAGAATTAGGAAGATTATACAGAATACAGGAAACTTCAGTTACATGTGCAGTCATCAAGTGAGGAGAGTGTCCATTGGTCTCCCACACCCCTTTTATTGAATTTATTGGGGTGACCCTGGTTAACAAAAGTCTATAGGCTTCAGGTGCATAATTTTACAATACATCATCTGTACTGTGTGCTCACCACCCCCAGCAAGTCTCTACCCATCACCATTTAGCTCCCATCCCCTCTTCCACTTCCTTCCACCCACCCTGTTCTAGCTTTCACAGAGGAATATAAGTTACCAAACTAACTGTATTTCTCTGGTAGAGCTTGAAAGCTTTCTTTTAGCCGTGTATATCTATAACACTATGACTACAGGCAATATTTTGCTTTATAAACAATTATTTTTTAAGAAATGAATATTTCCTTTTAAATAAGCTTTGTGCATATACAAAACTTTTCAGTTTGTAGCTCAAACTCCAAGAACATTTTATATGCAATATATATATATATATATATATATATATATATATATATACACACACACACACACACATATATATAAAAGTCCTGTTTTATGCACTAGAAAAATAACTTTGTTAACTGGGTTTTACAGTGCATAACAGTTATATGACTTTAGTTATTAATGATAATAAATATGGCCATTTCATCTCTGGTTTAGATGAAAGGTTTTATACCTAGCAGGCAAGCTTTCAGTGCAGAAATGTTCCATGGTTCAGAGTCAAAAAGACTGACCTTGCTCTGCAACTTATTAACTTTCAGACCAAGTTATTTAACCTCTATGAGCCTCAGTTTCTTCATATGTAAAGTACTAAGACCACTGTAAGAATAAATGGGGCCCAGCTGATGTGGCTCGGTGATTGAGCGTCGACCTATGAACCAGATCACAGTTCAATTCTCAGGGCACATGCCCGGGTTGTGGGCTCAATCCCCAGTGGGGTGAGTGCAGGAGGCAGCTGATCAATGATTCTCTCTCATCATTGATGTTTCTATCTCTCCCTCTCTTTTCCTCTCTCTGAAGTCAATTACATATACATATATATATATGTATATATATATATATCTATATATCTATGTATATATATGTGTGTGTGGATATATATAATGTATATATGTGTGTATATATGTATATATATATAATGTATATATGTGTATATACATATACATATATCCTATATAATAAAGAGGTAATATGCAAATTGACCATCATGCCCTCACACAAGATGGCAGCCCCCATGTGGTCACAAGATGGCTAGCAGTGGAGGGCAGTTGTGGGTGATCAGGCCAGCAGGGGAGGGCAGCTGGGGGCGACCAGGCTGGCAGGGGAGGGCAGTTGGGGGCAACCGGGTCTGCAGGGGAGGGAGGGCAGTTGGGGGCGACCAGGCTGGCAGGGGAGGGCAGTTGGAGGCGACTGGGCTGGCAGGGGAGGGCAGTTGGGGGCAATCGGGCCAGCAAGGGAGCAGTTAGGCATCGATCAGGCTGGCAGGAGAGTGGTTAGGGCAGTGATGGCGAACATATGACACGTGTGTTAGAGGTGACACACGAACTCATTTTTTTGGTTGATTTTTCTTTGTTAAATGGCATTTAAATATATAAAATAAATATCAAAAATATAAATCTTTGTTTTACTATAGTTGCAAATATCAAAAAATTTCTATATGTGACACGGCACCAGAGTTAAGAGTTTTTCAAAATGCTGACATGCCGAGCTCAAAAGGTTCGCCATTACTGGGTTAGGGGGTGATCGGGCTGTCAGGCAGAAGCAGTTAGGGGCAATCAGGCAGGCAGGGAGGGGAGAGGTTGGGAGCCAGCAGTCCCAGATTGTGAGAGGGATGTCCGACTGCCGGGTTAGGCCCGATCCCTGTGGGCCTAAACCGGCAGTTGGACATCCCCCGAGGGGTCCCAGATTGGAGAGGGTGCAGGCTGAGCTGAGGGACCTCCCCCCCACCAGTGCACAAATTTTGTGCACCAGGCCTCTAGTATATATATATATAATGGGAATTGCAAGTATATCTGGTACAGCATGAGATGAACATATAAAGGCTCTTTAAATAAATATTAGCTATTATTATTGCAGTTTTAATATTATATGACTATAGAACAGTATTCTAATGTTTAAGAAATAAATGGGATTTACAATTTAATATATTAATCATACCTCAATAAAGCAGAAATTCAAATAAATAAAATTTAATTTAAAAAAATGAAGTAGATTGGCAGAGTAAGCAAAAACTTCTCAAAAAGGAATCTTAGGCCCTAGCTGGTTTGGCTCAGTGGATAGTGTCAGCCTGTGGACTGAAGGGTCCCAGGTTCGATTCCAGTCAAGGGCACATGCCTAGGTTGGGCTTGATCCTAAGTAGAGGATGTATAGAAGGCAGCCAATCAATGATTCTTTCTCATCATTGATGTTTCTATCTCTCTTCCTCTCTGAAATCAATAAAGATATATTTTTTTAAAAAAGGAATCTTAGAATTCATCTAACACCAACTCTTCCATTTTATCAGCCTAAGTTTGTCTACCTACAGTCACATAATTACCGACAATGTTGGAATTAGAATTCTTGTCTCCCTTTAAGCCCGTGGTCGGCAAACTGCAGCTCGCGAGCCACATGCGGCTCTTTGGCCCCTTGAGTGTGGCTCTTCCTAAGCCTTAGGAGTACCCTAATTAAGTTAATAACAATGTACCTACCTATATAGTTTAAGTTTAAAAAATTTGGCTCTCAAAAGAAATTTCAATCATTGTACTGTTGATATTTGGCTCTGTTGGCTAATGAGTTTGCCGACCACTGCTTTAAGCTAATAATTTCCACCACACTATGCGTGGCTGCTGGATAGCAAGATGATCAATAAGTTAAATGATGTGGATTTTGTCCATTTACATCACTTTGAAGAACAGTACACTGAAATAACATTTCAAGAAAGCCATCAAAATAAGGCATTTCTAATAAAGGGTTCTATAAAGGTTTTTCATCTGTAATAGAGGTTTTATAATTTCAATAATGTCTAGAATTAAGAATTTCAAAGAACATCAACTCCATCTATAAATTGTCCCTGTGAAAACAGATTCTATTACTGGTAGAAAAATAAACTCTAAGTCTAATCATAACTTCT